CCCGGCTCCTCGCGGGCCCCTCCCCCTCGGAGGCCTTTTGTTTCTTTACTTCTTTTTCCCCGTCTTCCTACCTTGATAGAAGCGCGAACTCTTCTCACTGTAGCGTTCCAGGTGGTCTCTCTTTAAATCTCAGGCCGAATTCGTAGATTTTCAGGATGATTTGAAGGTTATCTAGGTAATTTGTTGGGGACAGGTGATTTGGGGACCCTACTCTTCCGCCATCTTGCCCCTCCTCCCTCTATCTCCAAGTTTTTAAATGAAGTGTGCATTTGGTCTGTTTCTTATAGTTTAGTTCTTTAATACTGTCCTTAGTTTCTATCCCTAAGTAGCATAACTAGTGCACAATTCATTTCCAAACACAGTGTTTCAGTAGAACTGAATATTTGTGCTTTTTTAAAGTGTTTTTTTCCCCCATTGGAGAGCACATTTACTGTCTCCTTTGATGATCAAATATTTAAAGAGTATAGTTATAAAAGAAGCTATTAAACTTATTTTTTTCATTAGCTTTAATAAAAAATCATTCATTCTAAGCATATCTTAAATTTGTGTTTCTGAAAAAAATTTTTTTTAGAGTTACGAAGTTGCAACTGCCCTAGAAAATCAAAGCCACAAGATTCGGTATTCAGATTCAGTGGAAAATGGATCAATTATATTTTCTCTTTCTGGTACAGTATATTTGCTAACTGTCTTGATTTAAGTTTTTTATAAAATATGTCAGTATAAATTCTAATAGTGGTAGTTCAGTTAACCAGGTAATAAGCTTAAGGTATTATCTTTTGGGAGAGGTAAATGTATAAAAGTTTATTACTGCTGCAAAAGTAATACATATGGCCAACTACAACATGCATTCCTTTTTAGATTGTAATTGTTGGGGGCACCTTGGTGGCTCAGTCAGTTAAGTGACTGATTCTGGAGTTCAGCTCCGGTCATGATCTCAGTGTTGTGAGATCAAGCACTGCACTGGCTCTATGCTGGTCATGGAGCCTGCTTAAGATTCTCTTTCTCCCTCTCCCTCTGCCCCTCCCCTGCTTCCTCTCTAAACAAAAATTGTTGAACTAAAGCTGAACCAGTGAAATCTGGTAGAGGACGGTGAAAACTTGCTTTGGAACTATGATGCAAATAGAACTAAAACAAAACTCTCTCTCCAACAGTTAGGACTTAAAATACTACCAGTATTAACAAAGAGGCCAACATCACAACATTGGTCAAAAGCCATATATAAAAACAAGAGAGAATGTTTTTTCAGGATTTTGTACAAGAGTTTGCTGATATAAACAAATACTAAAAGAAAAGAACTGAATAGAGACAAATAGAAGTTCCTCAAGTCATAAAACTAGGGGCAGCCTAGGTGGCTCAACAGTGTAGCGCCACCTTCAGTCCAGGGCGTGATCCTGGAGACCCAGGATCGAGTCCCACATCAGGCTCCCTGCGTGGAGCCTGCTTCTCCCTCTGCCTGTGTCTCTGCCTCTCTCTCTCTCTCTGTATCTCTCATGAATAAATAAATAAAATCTTTTTTAAAAAATCATAAAACTATATAATTGTCATGGGCAAAAAAAATACAGGAAGGAATTAGATCAGGATATGAGAAGGCTGGGGCAGCACAAAGCATAGGTTTGTGGTAAGGAAATGACTAAAGTGATAAAAGTGGTGGAAGTAAAGGATTTTATCAGGAGGGTTGCAGATAGACTGGTAACTCTAGCAGAGGTTTTGGAAGACAGGCAACTTCCAAAAGCTCCTGGAAATGAAACTCCAGTCTGAAGGTGGTCTAACCTCAAACTTCAAAGTCACCCTTCCTGATTGAATAGGGAGTGAAATGTTTTTGAATGTCTCCTATGTCCCTTCGCCACTTCATACCCAGGATCTTACTTTTTCCCCCCAGTATCTTATTTAATCTTCTCAACAAACCTATGAAAGAATTACTGTTACATTCTTACAGATGGTAGAACTTAGGTTCAGAGAGGTTTATATACATTGCCCAAGTTCACTTAATTAACATACTATCACTTTCCTCAGATTGTCTTCTCTTTTAAAGAGCTATAATTAGGGCAGCCCCGATGTCCCAGCGGGGTATCATCCTGGAGACCCCACATGGGGCTCCCTACATGGAGCCTGCTTCTCCCTCTGCCTGTGTCTCTGCCTCTCTTTCTCTGTGTGTCTGTCATGAATAAATAAATAAAATCTTAAAAAAAATAATAAAGAACTATAATTAGATCAAATTTCCCTTCAGGACTATTCTTATGGGCCTGATACAGTTTCAAAAATCCTAGATATCTGAGTGTTTTAATTTATATAATAATGTTCTCTACAAAGGTTTCTCCAAGAAATAGTTGAAAGCTTATCTTTGATTTCCAGCTTTAAAAAAATTATAATATAAAAAAAAAACAACTAAAATCAGGCATTACTTTGTGTTCAGTGCCTTAGTTTGAAAATTGTTACTGACCAAAAAAGCTTTTTCCTTTAGAATAAGTCATCCTTTTATATAGAGCACTTCAAAGAATTACCTAAATCGTTTTGTAACATAGGAATTTTGTTATAGTAAATTTGTTCCTTCTAGGTTTAGGTCTTGGACACTTAGACCTATACTATAGCTATTTTTGTTGATTCTACTGAATTTACAAAAAAAATTATTATAACAAAGTGATGTTTTATATTGTGCTTACTTTTCCTAGGAGTTGCATTTTTATTGATGGATGCTAAAGAATGCTTTATATCAGCTGAAGAAATATTTCTAGCCAAAATTGAGAAGTTTATTAATATTCACCAAAAGAGTTTTTTGGTTCTGTCTGCTGCCCTCCATGGGCCTGAGGAATGGAAACTGATGTTCAGGATTCAGCAAAGGTATAGAAGAATAGTACTACAGACTTAAATCACATTGTTTTTACTTTAGTTCTTAATTCTTTTAAGCAGGTGAGTTATGTTTTGTCATAAGATAAACATTATAATGTTAACTTGCCATGTTTCATAAAATATGGGCCTAATGGCTATTTCAAGATTCAGGGTGACAAATTTCAGAGTTCATGCTGATTTCTTAGATTTTCCTTCGAGACCAAACAAAAGTGAATACTTTTTAGTCTATTAAATTCTGGCTATAAAGCCATATCATACCTCTGTGGAATAGGGCAGGGCGTGAATAAATAAATGAATATAAGGTTTCTCTCTCCTTTCCACTTAACAGCTATCTGTGTAGGTTATATGATCTATTTACAAATTATTTTTCAGATTCCTGGGTAGTAACTTACGGATACTTCCAGTACACAACACAGTAAATGCTATTAATCTTATGTGCACTATAGCTAAGGTGAGTCATCTAGAAAAATGACACATACATAGCACTCATGGATTTTAAGGTTCTTGACTTCAAAAGGCACACCCACTTGAGCAGGATTAACAAATACACTGTCCCTTTTCCCCTCAGAGAAGTTGCTCTTTCAGCATGCAGCTCTTTGAAGCCTGAACTCAGCCCTCTCATCTTCTCAGTTTTACTTTCAGTAGCAATGATGACTAATTTTAGCCCAAAAGAGCATTTGGCATATATACATTGTGTTGGCCCTACTGGTTTCTTAAATCTTCCTTCAAGTTCTAAAATATAATTATTGATCAGGCTGTAGTCAAGAACTGTCAAAGTGCAAAACATACAATTTTATAGGATAATGTTCACAAGTTGCCCACCATCTTTTCATGGTCTTTTCATTTGTCTTCCCCTATGAAATGGGCCCTAGGCAGAGTTAGGTGTTTCTTACTCTTATACTTGGAACAGATCTCCATTAAAGCAATTCTTAAAGTTTTCTTTTGGCTTTTTGGAAATTCCTTAAAGACAAGAGCGGTATTTTTCTATTACTCAAGTAACTCAAACATAGTATTTAGCACATAGAAGGTAATTTGATACTTATTGAGTATGTGAAAATTTATTTTTTATATGACCCTGTAAAAATAACTTATTTGTATAAATAATGTTCCATGTTTATAACTTTTTACAGACTGCCTCCAAACCATACACAGATAGGATCTGCTATAGAATGATAACAACTGAGGCTTACATCATTGAGCAAAGTCCTGTTTGGAAAACACTTCAAAAGTTAAAACTGAGTAGTGATCCATTTAACCTAAATTAGTGTATCAATTGCTTCAGTTCTTTAGGAATAATGTTAAAATAATTAGACTTAATTATAATGTTCAAATATATTTACTTTAAAGATTTTTTAAAATTTGAAATAAAATGTGTATGATTAAAAATGATTTTATCTTCAGTTTTGTAGAGTAATCCTTTTAATAACACTTAGAAAAAATTGGTACATACATATATTATAAAACTCAGATGCAGTTTCTTAGTGATACAAACTAAGTTGGATGGACAAATATTTACTACAAAATGAAAACACAGCATTTTCTAACTAGCCCCTTAGAAAAGGAAAAGTCACATACACTTTTTAGCTATTCCACAAGGGCTGCCAGTATTTCTAAAATTAATCTTTGCAGATGCTTTCATATTATAACTGCTGCTAGAGGGGTGGTGATGGGACTCTGCCCCCTAAGACTCTTCCTGAGGTAGGAAAAGAAAGGAAAATTGAGACAATCAGCCAACTGGCCTACTGAAAACCTCTGTATACTTTTACAGTGCTGTGATACCCTATTTGACACCAAGAGTTCTAAAATATAGCATCTAACTGGAACATAAAGTGTATCAATGTATTTATAAATCAGTATAGCTATATGAATGAAGGCAATACAACTTCATTTTATGAGATTATAATACAAAATTATTAGTTTGTATTGGATTTTCAACAGTAGGATCTAGAATATATATATGGGCATTATTTACCACGTAGATAATCTTTTTATTAATTTATTTTTTTTTAGATAATCTTTTTAAAACCAAAGAATACTACTGGTCCTTAATGTGTCATCACAGAAACCAATAAATGAGAAAAGCTACATTTATTTTTCTAGCAGTATTTTACAGAAAAGTTTTTATAAAGGTATTAAATAATCAAAATGGAAAATACAGTATTTTACTAGTTTTTATTTAGGAAATGGAAGTTTCACTTTATCCCAATATTTTCTTCAGTGGTAGACTTTGTTTTTATTTCAATGAGTTCTTCTACTCGAGCCAGAACACTTTCAATCAAATCAAATGTGAAAAGAGCTGAATGTAGGACCTGCAGTGCCAACGGAAATTAATGTTAATGTTGCGTTAAAGCAAAAAAAAGAAAAGTCTTCAGCTGGATATAGCTTAGGAAAATTTCAGATCTACCTTAAGCTGCATTTCAGGAGGCATATTAGGGATCTCTTCTCCACCTACAGTTACAGAACAAAGATCTTTAGACTTCTGGACTTCTGTAAGAGAAGAAAAAAAAATCATGTATCACATTTAACCATTAAAAACAACTCTCAGATTTCAATAATCAATTTTTAAGCACCTTTCATTATTATACCCATTACACTAAAACAATATTTCTGGTTAATGCCTATAAGAAATACCCCTTAGCTATACAGAAAAGAGCAGATTATTATAGAATTGCTTAATGTCTTTAAAAAGTAATTCTGCATCTAAGACTCTTTTTCATAATTTGTACAGATTTACTTGAGAGTGAGGATGGACAGAGCCATACCCAAGTTAGTATAATAGCCAAACAGAAATACTTATAATACAGTTAGATTTTTAATCAGAATTTTTATTTTAACCTGGTTTTAAACCAGAATATGCTTCAAATTGGTTTAAATCTTTGTTAACTCAATTTCATTGTTAACTGGCTTACAGATCTGCTAAAAATCATTTTAATTACAAATAAAATAACTTTCATGGTTCCTTGTTTGTTACAAAATAAACAAGTATGACATTTAAAAGTTCTTTATTTTGAATATAACTGACAGTTCTAAAACTTAACTAATTTTTAGACCTAACCAAAAATGAAATTACCAACCTTGGCTATTTTCTTGGCTATTCTTAATTTCTGCTTCATAATGTGCTTTTGACATATTAAGTCCTGTATGGAGTGGCTTTAAGAAATTATTCTCAATCTTTGCAAGTTCTGTCCATAATCCGGTCTGTTCAGAAGAATTAATGAAAGAAGTAGTTATTAGGTTCAACATTTTTTGATTGCCTATTATTATTAAACATATGTTGAAAGTTGGAGAAATAAAAATAAAATCTGATCCTTGCCTTCCAATATAGTTTACTGTTTAATAATACATTCATTATTACATCTAGTTATTTTATGTGAATACTAATAAAAACAAAAATGTACTTTGGATGGTCTACTCATTAATGCATCATTTGGACAGTTCCTGATTTTGAGATATATAACTTACAAGCTTTACTCATGAGAAAATTATCTGAGAATCTGTATGATGAAACATAAACCACCCCTACAATGACATTATATATTCCTTCAACTCATGACCTTTCGATTGATATCCTTGTCATAGACCTTGTTCTAGAGAAGTCTCTCCTTCCCTATTGATGGAAACATTTCTAACACAAAGCTGTTATGAACTTCCTGGTGATCAATGTAGACAGAGGTTTTACCTGCTTTTGTCATCCATATTAGAAGTTTTTATTCCAAAAGCATTTCCTCCTATAGTACTTAAAGGAGGAGAGTCATAAAGTCTTAATTTTATTAGGAAGAAAGGGAAATGGGGGACACCTGGATGGCTCAGTGGTTGACCCTTTGGCTCAGGGTTGATCCTAGTCCTGGGATCGAGTCCTACATTAGGCTCCTTGAGGAGCCTACTTCTCCCTATGTCTAGGTCTCTGCCTCTCTCTCTGTCTCTCATGAATAAATAAATAAAATCTTAAAAAAAAAAAAAGGAAGAGGGGGAAATGGGAGGGGAAGGGTTGAAGGTAGGGGAGAGAGATGAGACAGAGGAGGAAAGAGAAATTCATTAGTAGTATTAAGTTTCCAGGTACTCCTTACAAAGGAAGATACTTTAGGTAAAAAAGGGAAACTTAGGAACCCAATTATTCTTAACCAGAAGTGGACCACTTGAAAACCTATTTGTAATCAACTTTTGATTATTCAATTTTAAATTGAATTATTTATACAAACATCTTTTATTATTTATACAAAAATCTCATAAAATATATTTTATTCATAATTATACAGGGGTTCTCAAACTTCACTGTGCTAAAAATATAATTTCTCTGCTTTATTTGGAGACTGAGTAGATTTAGGGAATTTGCATTTATAAGAGAACAAATACCCAGGTGATTTTGATTAAGAGCCTGTGATAAGGTACAACCATGTAAAATGGCCCCATCCAGGCAGCCCCAGTGGCCCAGTGGTTTAGCGCCACCTTCAGCCCGGGACATGATCCTGGGATCAAGTCCCACGTCGGGCTCCCTGCGTGGAGCCTGCTTCTCCCTCTGCCTGTGTCTCTGCCTCTCTCTGTGTGTCTCTCATGAATAGATACAATCTTTAAATAAATAAAAATAAAAATGGCCCCATCCAATGCCAACGAGAAACTGATTTTTTAATTAAAAATTTTTAATTCAAATTTTAAATACTCAGATGTGGCTACTGTCTACTGTATTGGACAGTGCAAATCTAGGAGGTCTTTATTAAGAGCTCAGTTTTTTTTTTTTAAGTTTTAAAAACTTATTTGAATGAGTATGAGTGGGATGGGGGGCAGAGCAGTGGGCAGAAGGAGAGAGAGAAGTACACTCCCTGCTCAGCAGGGAGCAGGTTGCAGGGCTGGATCCCAGGACCCCGAGATCACAACATGAGCTGAAGGCAGATGTTTAACCGACCGAGCCACCCAGGCCTCCCTTGTTTTTGTTTTTAAAGATTTTATTTTAGAGAGAGAGCATGTGTGTGCTTGCAAGCAGAGAGGAGGGAGAGAATCTCAAAGAGATGCCATGCTGAGTGCAGAGCCCAACACGGGGTTTCTTTCATCTCACGACCCTGAGATTATGACCTGAGCCAAAATAAAAAAAACAAGTTTTGGCTCAGGTTGGACACTTAACCAACTGAGTCACCCAGGCACTCCAAGGACTTAGTTGTTTTTAATGGCCATAACTTTTTTTTTAATACACAGCCCATAACCCTAAAACTTATAAGGCAATAAAAACATGCAAAATTAGGCTATAGAAAATCTGTTGTGCATTCTGTTCAGCATAATTCCACAAATTTTTCATATGGTGAACTGTGATAATTTGAGAAGCATGCAGGAGCGAAGAAGCTGTGTAAATCAGAATATTTTCTCTTATAATAAATAAGGTTACTAGATCTTTAAAAAAAATACAAAGAAAATCATTTTAAAATTTCTTTTATCTTCAATGTCTAGAAAAAGTAACTTAAGAATAAAAAAAAAGTTTTAATAAGGATAAAAATGTGAAGTTTCCACAAATGCTTTTCATTTTTCTCAAGTAGATTTATGTAGTTTAAGTTTTTCAGTTCTAAAGCTTACCTATTTAATTCAAAACGCACTGTAGCCTATCTCAAAAAAGGAAGACTAGGCAGTTCTAAAACATAATAAAATTTACTGCAGAACAGACAAGGGTCTCTCAAAGGATAGTCAACCACGATAATGAAATAAAAGGAGGAAATGAGTAACACCTAGTTTTCCTTCTCCTTAGTTGCATATGATTCCTATTTATGATGTAATACTGCAGAACTTCTATAATTTCCATTATTAATATTGTAATAAGGATAAAGAATTTCTATCACCTAAAGCCATCTGTCTCTGCAAATAATACACAAGGCATATGTTTAAAAAAATGAAATCCCAAAATATGGATTATATGGAATTATATGTATTTGTATATATATGTATTTGTATATATGTGTCAGATACTTAGAGTTTTTTCCTAAATGAAAAGTATATCTGTACATATTACATAATTCAGTTTTTTAAAATTCCTAATACTTGTGGCCTTTACAATCTCACATAGTTTCCCTTGACCCTGCTTTCATTCTTATTACAATATCACCCTAGGACAAAAATGGGTAAGCAGGAAGATGGGAAAGTATATGAGTAGATAGAAGGTGAGGGATAAAATTATTATAGGCTGTGTATTAGAATTACTGTAATTTGAAACATTTAAAGATACCTACCTACATACATAAAGATACCTACCAAAAAGAACACTAGGTATAAAAACTAAGTTGGTTTCAGTAGAGATGGAGGCTCAAGAAAAGTTTTGTGAAGCTGAAGTGTGGGAGAAGGTGCCTGTAACTTAGGTAACAGGATGAAGAGAAATAAAATAGGGTGAAGAGGGAGATGACTTATGAAAAGAATAAATCAACTGACAGCAACCCAAAAACAGCAAGAAAAGAAATGGATTATTATTCAATTATGAATCACTCTTTTATATTTGAATGATCCTATTCTTAATTTTCCTATATACCTTTCTAATTGCTTCTCAGCTTTTCATCTGACTAGTTCACATCTCAGCACGCTTAACTGGTCAAAAATAGGTACTGGCATGGTGGCTTACTGAGTTGAACATCTGACTTGATTTTTGCCCAGGTCATAATCTCTGGATCCTGGGATCAAGCCCTATGGCAGGCTCCCTCCTCAGCAGGGAGTCTGCTGGAGATACTCTTCTTTCTCTCTCCCCCCTCCCCTCGCCCCTTCATGTGCACCCCCTCATGTGCCTGCTCACATTCTCAAATCTTTTTTTTTGTTTATTTTTAAGTTTTTTATGAGAGACACATAGAGAGAGGCAGATACATGGAAGGAGAGGCAGGCTCCTCACCGGGAGCCCGATGGCAGGACTAGCACACAGATTTACCTGTCACATATCTATATGACTTACTATAATTAATTGCACTTGAGAGAAATGCTTCTGATATGAACAAAAAGGCTCTTAAGATGCCTCAGGTTGCCACTTTGGACTGTTTTTTTTTTTGTTTGTTTGTTTTGTTTTGTTTTGCTAATCTCAGTAGAATAATTCTTATGGTAACTTGCTTGGTAATACTTTGGAATATATGATTCCCAAGAAATTTTTTAAACCATTAAAAAAGAAAACAATTTTATAAAATGGTTATATCCTTTTCTTCACAATACAATTGTTTGAGCCAAAGAAAAGGGAGTCATCTGTGCATATAATAAAAGATATTGCACAATGCTAAACTGCTCTGTCTGCCCTCTAGGTAGAAGCCCATTTGCTGCCCCTCTAGCACACCGTGTTGCAACCTAATAAATTTATCACTTTTAATCAAGAAGATTCTTTTTCTCCTGTCAGGCAAATCAGATCATCTCTAGGTATGGCCTTTCTTGATTACTAAAAAAATAAACTCACACCTTACTTTAAGCACACCTTTCTGAAACCTGAGGACCTTCACTGCTGCTGAATTTCACTTATTTTTTCTAGTCTTACCAGAAGCTCCTCTAGGAGTCAGGATATACTTTGTGATTCAAAGGTTCCGGCTTTTGCCTAAGGTCATAGCTATCTACCACTTACTAGGTAAGTGCCCTTGTGCAAGTTAAAGATCCTTCCAATGCCTACATTATTTATGAAAAGTAAAAAATAAACTAAAAAGTTGAAAAAGGACACAGGAAACTTCCTTCTGATGATAGCAATGTTTTATTTTTGATAAAATTTGGGTAACAGATCTATCCATTTATTGAAATTCAGAGATGTACACTTAAAAACCTATGCATTTCATTTTATGTAAATTTTATCTCAGAAAAACTACAGATATATTTAGCCATTTATTAAAATATATGCTGCAATATTTACGGAAAACTATGCTGTTTGTAGTTTATTATGAGGTACATAAATAAGACACTGGTGTGAATAGAGGGTGGAGAGATGGATACAGGATAACAGTAGAGTAAAATGTTAATGGTAGCATCTTGGTGGTGGGTAAATCAGGGAGTGGTCCCTGTTAAATTATCTTCAGTTTTGCTATATGTTTAGAAAACTAAACAATAAGATGTTGGGGAAGAATAAACACCCTATACAGAGTAAACGCTAGTCAATAATTACAAACAACTATTTTTGGCTGAGGAGGATAAACAAGAGGTTAAATCACTGAATCTACTAAATTCAGTCAAGAGGGAGGGAAGCTGCTGTTCTTATATAAACTTTTCACTGCAAATCATGATTTACGTAAGTTTTCTTTTAAAAGCTCTTTGGCATCCTTGTGTCAAAATCAGGGGCTCCTGAGTGACTCGGTCAGTTAAATGTTCCAACTTTTAATTTCATCAGAGTTCAGCTGAGGTTTGATCTCAGGGTTGTAAGCTCAAGTCCCATGAAAAGATACTTTCATTTCTTTTATTATTTTCTTAAACCAGATTAACAACACATGTGATTCAGGTGGTTACAGTTAACAGAGATAATACATTATGGGACAGCAATTATTAGAATAGGTAGAAAGAAAGCAGATAAAAAGCAAATCTAATTTTACTGTATGACAAATCTCCCTCAAATAATTTTGTCTTCATTCAATACCTCTAATGATGCACTATTAAGAACAAAACAAAAAACTTCCTACACATTATCCAAAAATCCTGTTAACAGATTTCAATTTTAGTGCTGAAAATGGTTCAATTAGTCATATCTGGTGAGGGGATACCAAATTATCAGATGATTTTATTTTAGATAGCTTAGATTTAAATCATGACCTACAGGTAGAGGCAACTGAACGAGACATCCAAACATATGCACGCTCCAAAAGTTTAGTTAGGATCTACAATGTACTTACCTGACGGGGCTAAGCAATGCTTATAGCCAAAATGGCAGAGGTTCGATAGGAAAAGGAAAGGGAAATTAGGTCTGAGGTGGTAAGGGCTCCTGGGAATTGACTTCAGGTTTCAGAATAATTGCTGGTACTTTTCCTAGCCTTTGTAGCTGGGTAAGATATTAAATATTGGCTTGTGCATTTTAAACATACTGTTTCTTATAAAAAAAAAAAACTCACTTACTTGATTGTCTTTTTCATTATCTTTGATAACCAAATATCTCAATAAATTTAATGAAGCCATTATCCTGTTAATTAAAAATAAATAATTTGTTACTTACAGCATGGTTTTATATAATCAGCAATTTCAATGAATAAAATAAGTTAAAACCTAGGGTGTATTTTTACAATTATGTTTGCCATTAGAAACTATTCCCCCAACACATCTTTTGGAATAGTAATTATCACTCTTGTTCGCCAAGTTCACAATATACAATTGTGAAAATTACTATTCTTTTCCCCCAAAGGAGTCTTGTTATCATTAGTATTTCAGAGTATCATCTCTTCCTGAATTTTCAGATTCCTTTTTAAAAGCTTACAACCACTTCTTATCATCTACTCTAGTAGACTAAACATAAAATTACATGTTCTACATATAAAAAAATGATGTCCTAGAAAACAATAAAACCCAAACACATGCCTTTTATGTAAGTTATATCCATGAAATTCTTAGTTTTTAGTCACCAATGCTATAGTTGCAAATCTCTATAAGTTGTATATTGGAATGCAGGGCACATTATAGGTATACAATCATTCTGTTGGTCATACTTTTGGAAAGAGTTTTTAATTTTGTTTTTGCAAAGCATCTAATTACTTAAATATGGAAATCTTTATGAAATTTTATGAATTAACTATAGATCATAATGTAACAGGAAAATACATCTTATTTGTTTAGGTTTGCTAAAAGGGGGTTTTAACATTTTATTGTGAATTTCCTATGTGAACCTTAGTAATGGTCACCTCACCTATCTGAGTTTTGAAGTAAATCAGTTTCAGCACCCTCTGGGAGAAAGAGTACCAAATCTAGAAGTGAAATCAGCTGTGGGCCTGTAAACCATTTGTTATGTGTTCTCTGAAAAGCAAAAAAAAAATTGGGAAAGGTTTTAAATAATAGCTGATAAATTCATGTGCTATTTCTAACACCTTCATGCTACAAAAATAAACATTACACATTTAAAATATTTTTTAAACTTTCATTTCCATTCTTTTACACTCTTTCTAGACACTGGGAACAAAATGCCAGATTGAAAACACTGATGCATTGTTTTCAATATGGAATTACTGACTATTCATAAACAAAGTAGACTTAAGTTTCCATTAATATTTCAGAAATATAGAGCAAAATAAAGTCACGTCCTCAGCTCAAAGAATTAATACAATTTAAATGTATAGTTAACAGAATTTCAAAATTAAGGTTTTTAAAAAACAGAAATAGTAGAAAAATATGCTGTAATACTAGATATAGAAAAGGTCCACAGGGCAAAATTCACCTTAATGTATTTTACAAATGAATAAATACATCCTCCAAATTAAAAATGATAATCAACACCTTAGCTATGCTCTTACCTTTAATGACACATCAATTTGATTTTTGATATTCTGAATAATGAAAGCCTCCACACCTGAATGATTACTTGTATTCAATAAGCACCTTGAAAGCAAAATTACAATATATTTGAACTTATCCTGGACTGCATTATTCCTAAATGATGATGAAAATCTTACAAATTCATATGGGCCATATGTTACTTCTAGAAACACAAAAATCAGTAAGGACATTTAGCGAAGTGATCAACCAACTGCGAAGTCACTTGTGGTTATTGCTCTAACTGGCAAATTCTATTTTAACCGGATCTTTCCAACATGAAATTTCTATTAAATCAAATGTGAATCTTTTGTGCATATAGTTGCAATGACTTGACATGGCAAATCACAGTCTAAAAACTCCCAAAATTACTCCTTATGAAACTAGACTAGTTTTGTTAGATTAACTTAATTGCAAAGAAAGGAAACTCAGTATGACTGCCTTGAGAAAAAAGGGGATTTCTTGGTAGGGATATAGATAGCTCATCAAAGTAAAATTTCATAAAACCTAGTCTAAGTCTTATCAATAGACGTGAAGATGGAATCAAGGGTGCTAGTATTGGCCAATCCCCAAAAAGGACTTCTTGGCACTCTGACGTTGTCCAAATCTATTTTTTTGACTCATTTTTATTTACTACCAGGTATGTCAACAAACTAAGGTTTGCAGGCCAAATCTAGCCTGGTGTCTGTTTTGTTTTTACTGGAATGCATCCACCCCCACCCCCACTACAAAGACAAAGTTGAGCAGTTGTAAGAGGTGCTGTGATGCACAAAGACTATTTAATGTTCGGCCCTTTACACAAAAATCTGCCTCTTTTTAACTCTGAAAGGTGCTAGAATCCTTTCTCTCAAATAGCACTATTAATAATCTCTACCATTAACTTACAGTGAATAGCCTATCAAAGTTATAACGCCAGTTAATTTCAAAGTGAATAAGATTACTGACATGTAAATTTTTAGCAGGAGCCTTATCAACCTCTTATTTAAAATCTCTCTCTAGTCTTTTTAAATTCTAGAATATTTCAATTATTTGAACTGAAATACTATTATGTATATAATAATATGTATCCATAATATTTGAGTAACCTTTTTTCTACCTATAGGGATAAGAGAATTTATTATAATATGGCTTCCAAGAAGAGTTGACAATGTAAAACATAAATACTATAAACATTTGGAATAATTAAGTGGCATTAATTTGGTTTTTAATCAACTATATACTTGACAATTAACCATTCTTGATACATACCTAAATAATGTGTATTTGCCTTGTGAATCCAACTTGTTAATATACAGCTGAAGCATAGCTAAACTTTTTTTCCTCTACAACAAAACAAATAATATTGTTACATAAAGTGAATGAAGATTATAGTTGACTATTGAACACCAGAAGTTTGAAATGTGCAGGTCATATATGAGTGGATTTTTTTTCGATAAACACAATATAGTAAATGTTTTTTCCTTATGACTTTTTTTCTTAAGATTTTAATAACATTTCCTTTTCTCTAGCTTACTTTATTATATGTATACAATATATAATACATATAATACAAACTATATGTTAACTCTTTTGTTATTGGTAAGGTTTCTGGTCAATATGAGGCTATTAGTAGTTAAGTCTTTAGGGAGTCAAAAGTTATACATGGCTTTCTGTGCAGGAGGTTAGCACCCCTAATCCTTGTGTTCTTCAAGCGTCAATTATAAATTATTAATTAAAATTTCTCACTGCAATTCATTATTATGTAGTCTCAAAACATTTACATACCAATGTCTCAATGGGGCAAAGTGTCATTACTTTGACTAAGCCCTGGAAATTAAAAAATAAAATTCAGATGTTAGTAGATTACACTGACAACAGCCAACTATACTATCAATGATGGATGGATACTAAAATTTCAGAGAAGTGAAGGTAGGAGATTTAAATATTAAGTAAATTTTCCCCTGAGTCTTTAAAATTTTAAAGATTTTATTTATTTCAGAGAGAGAGAGAGAAAACATGAGCTGGGGGAAGGGGCAGAGGAAGAGAGAGACACAGACTCCCCACTGAGCAGGGAGCCAGATGCAGGGCTAGATCCCAGGAGTCTGAGAACATGACCTGAGCTGAAGGCAGATGCTTAACCAAGCCACCCAGGTGCCCCTCCCTCAGCCTTTCATTCCACTATTATATCTAAGGAAGCTAAATACAATCCATTTTGTAAGTAAAACTGAATAGGGTGATACAATGCATAAATTTAGAAGTCAATTGTAATTTATAATTCTGTCTACAGTGGCAAAAAATGAAATCAGACACACAAAAATATAATCCATTTGTTAAAAGTAATCAGTGTTAACATAATAATAGCCATGTTTTTCTCTTTAAATAATGGAAAAACATGTTTCTATATCAACATCTAAAGACCTACTTGCCAAAAAATAAATAAATAACGACCTACTTGCCTATAACTAACAATAGTACAAAGTAAAATAAATCGGGATCCCTGGGTGGCGCAGCGGTTTGGCACCTGCCTTTGGCCCAGGGCGCAATCCTGGAGACCCAGGATCAAATCCCACATCGGGCTCCCGGTGCATGGAGCCTGCTTCTCCCTCTGCCTATGTCTCTGCCTCTCTCTCTCTCTCTCTGTGTGTGTAACTATCATAAATAAATAAAAATTAAAAAAAAAAAGTAAAATAAATCACAGGAGGGAAAAACAAAATGTTTTTCTAGTAAGGAGTCCATGCACGCCTTAATGGAGTCCTTAGGACTTGAATTATGAGGAAAGTAAAGCTTCATTTCCAAGGTCCCTACAGAAACGGTGTCAAAGAAGAAAATTATGTTTTCTCACGAGGTGTTATACTATCAACTATGGTAAGCCATTAGCCACATATAGCTATTTAAGTTTAAATTAATTTAAATTGAATTAAATTTAAAATTCAGTTCCTTAACTCTAGCCACATTTCAAGTATTCAGTGTGGCTAGTGGCTTTCATACTGTGTCAGAGCTAGAACACTATCACCATCATAGCAAGTTTTACTGGACACATGGCACTAGAGTTTTCAAAGGATATGGAGAAGAAAGTAGAAAAGGAATCTGAAAAGACCTACTTAAATTCAGAATAGGAAAGATGCTATTTCAAGATTAGAACACACACTTTACTTACCTGAGGTACAGTAAGAAAGCTCTTGATTTCTAAGTACTGGTGAAGTAGACTGTTGTCTTCTATTCTCAATAAACCATTCTCCAATAGATCCTACAGATTAAAATATATGCAGAGACACATATAGCAAAATCAACAGCTATATTTGTTGACAATGATTGTGTGTAAATTACAATGGTTGCAAATAAATCTTACCACTCCTTTGGAGAAAACAGACTCTTCTGTTCTGGAAGAGAATATTAAAATTTATCAACATGATTTTCTAAACTGCTTTAGAATGATTCTTCGTTTTAGGAAAAATAAAGCAAAAATTGAAATTTAAAGACTTTAAAGTATGCATTAAGGAAAAATTTTGTTGAAGAACTTAGTCAAAATTCTTAATCCATGTTTGATCTGTCTTTTGAGTTGGCTACTGACATCCAAATCTGACCAAAATCTGCCCTCCCAGGGCTTATTTCCTAGTAACAAATCAATAGATCTTCCATAGCAATTGATAAGAAATCAATTATACATGATACTATGTATTCCACTTGATTACATCTGTAAAATCTTTTCAATTATTTTTATACAAGAATTAAATGCTTTCCATTTGTGGTAATATTTTTTTAAGGTGTATAATCTTTTTTAAATATTTAAGCCTTGTGGCAAAAAAAATTATCTAAGGCCTAAGTTCTTATTCTACCCATGCAAGGAGTTAAAAGTGTTGTTTTTGTTTAATGACTAAATAGTTTGGAAATCTTAAGAATATAGAACTTAAGATTCAAATCAATACATATTCTCACTGAATATAACAGAGACTAAAAAGAATGTAAAATCATTAAGACATACATAATACAGTAAATTTACAGAGTTAATAACTACTTGTGCCAGGAGACCCTTGGAAATTCCTGCCTTGTAGGCCGAGGCTTTGGACATTTGCCATGTTACAAATCTTCCTTCACCTGGGAAGAGATGGGATTGATAAACTGTCACTAATGTTCCTATAGGATATACTACTGAAAGGTCCTGATTGATCGCAAGAGATAATTTAAACATGTTACAAGAAAACACAAAGCGTATAGAGTTTTGCAAAATTTTTAAATGTCTCAAAAAATCATACATATTTGTTACATTGCAATTTTTTAAAAGAAAAAGACTTGCATTCTTAATACCTCAAGTAAGAAAAGTTTCTGCATATAATCACTGTCAATAATCTAATAATCTCAGTTACAAAAAGGTGGAGTCAAGACACCTCCTTCCCTTTGATTCAGTCAGATTGTGTCCATGAATAAAAACATGGATGAATTTCTTTTACAGACCACCTCTTCTTAGATCAAGGAGGCTACAGTGGGACAGAGGTGTTTTAACTTACCAACTTTTGAAATAAGAGAAGCAGCCTCAGAAGCAGATGACTGGAAATTCCCTTTTAAGACAATATTTTAATATTTAAAGATAATTTTTGTTGTGAAACCTGACTCATTTTTGTGTCATATTTGCATCACTGTCTTATAAAATAACTGAGTAATTAATTAGGGTCTGGCAAAGAGAAGGTAGTCTCCCCCATCTTAACAAGAACTACTTTAATACCACTATTTAATTCTGAGATGCCATCTAAATGATCTTACCTTTGCAAAAAGACTTCAATATGTGCCATGTTAAATTGCAAAAGGTACGATGGGCTAAAATAGACAACATATATATATATATATATTTATATGTATATATCACATGTATATTTTTAGAAATTTTATATACATAAATACTATTATGGGTTGAATTGTGCCCTCCTCAAAAAAAGAAATGTTGGAATCCTAACCTCTGGAACCTCAGCATATGACTGTATTTGGAGATAAGGCTGCCCTTTTTTTTTTTTTTAAACTGGGATGGGCAGGGGCAGAATAGGAACCTCCCTACCCTGGAGATAAAACTGAGGTCCTTAGTGTGAGCCCTAATCTAGTACAAATGGTATCCTTATAATAAAGGAAGTGTGGACAGACATACACAGAGAGAACGCTGTATGAACATGAAGGTAGACTGGAGTGCTAGATCCACAAGCCAAGGAATGTCAAGGATTGCCAGCAAACTACCAGCAGACGGGACAGGCAAGGAATAGATTCTCCCTCAGAGCCCTATGAAGGAATCAATCCTGCCCACACCTTGACCTTGGACTTCTATCCTCCAGGACTATGAGATAAGGTGTTTCTTTTAAGACTATCTCATTTGTGGCATTTTATTATGGCAGACTTAGCAAACCAATATATGTACCTAAGTCATTTTGGTGGTAGTGTGATTAAGAGTACAGGCTCTGGCATCAGACAGAACTGTTTGAATCCACCTGTCCCACTAGTTAGTTGTATGATATTGACTGGATCCTAATTTGTCTAAGCCTGTTATTTTCATCTGAAAAATGAGAATGCTCTATTTCATAGTATCGTAAAGATTAGATAATGCATGCAAAGTTGTCTGCATATTATTTAATACATGGTGAACATGTAAGTGGAATACTGCCATTATTGCAGTATTTACATAGAAATATATCCCCAGGTATATCCATACATAAATATATAAATACACCAAGAAATATGCCTATGGCCTGAAAGACAAACACATAATCCTTATTATTATGGGTATGAAAATCTAAAAGGTATTATATTATAAAATTATATATTTAAAAAATAATTTGGATAAACTTTATGAGAAAAGAAGGACAAGGTCAAGATAATTACAACAGGAAGAGTCAACCTAATTTGGATGATGAAGGAAGGCTTTCCTCATAAAGTGACATTTAAAGTTAGAGATGGTCTAAGCATATAAAAAGGCCCTAGAGCAGAAAGGTTCATAACACATTTGAATAAAAAACCGTAAAAAGGTCTGTGTTATTGGAACATAGTAAACAAGAGAAAAGGTGGTAAAAGGGGAATCAGAACCATCAAGCAGGGACCAAATTATGCATAAGTTTGTCTCGTGAAGATTTTTAGACTTTAGAAGCAGTAGATAACCACTGAAGGGTTTTCATTAGGGACTGCTCTTAAAGTAGTGTTTTGAAAAAAGTTGGATTAAAAGGGATTGAGGTTGGATATATAAATACTCAGGATTACAAGAGTAATACAGTTAAAAGATGATGGCAATTTAGACCATCCGATGGGTAACTGACTGACCAGTTCTCTCCCTTATAGTCCAGGGTGATCCTAATAGCTTCAAAATCAAGCCGTTTCACACTTTCTGATCTTGTCCCCCTCATGTCTGTTTCACGCCCCCTTCCCCTGCCAACACCTTTTTGATATTTGAGTACTACTGGCTTTAACAGATAATATTGCCTATAATATTATTAATAAAAATAGCTTTTGTTTATACTTCATTTAAAATCCATTAGTACATTAATAAACATACACTGGAAATTGAGTTTGATACTCCTTTTAGAATTACATCAATAAGCCAAATATTAATGCCTACCTTAAGACCATTGGTAGCTGATCAATACTGATGCCCTGTACAAATACTAGATAGGCCAGAGAAGCCATAGAGTCTGCTAACTGTTTGTCTTCTTCTTCCTCAAATTCAAGATAGTCCCAAGTCCTCTTTTTCCTTCCATGATTAAAAATTATTTTGGGGAAAGGATGCCCAATTGCTGATAGAAAGCCCTGTGAAATGAATAAAAAAGTGATAGCAAGCAGGCTCTAGTATGCTCTTCCCACCCTCCCTGCCATATTCACATCCTGTATAATCCCTTTCCCTTGAGTGTCGGTGGGACCTGCTGGACTTGCTTCTAACCAGCAGAATATGGCGAGAGGTCACCCCATAATGAGATTATGTTATGACAAAAGTGAGAGGACTTTTGCAGATATATTTAGGGTTCCAAATCAGTTAATTTGGGGTTATCCAGAATGATGACTAGCTTTGGTGGACCTGACTTAAGCAGGTAGAAGGCTTTTTAAAAGGGGCCAGGCCCTACTTGAGAGTCAGTAAATCACCTCTGCAAGCATTAAAGAACTAAGCTGCCATGTTATGAGAGAGCCTATGCAGAGGACTTTGTGGCAAGGAACTACAGACAGCCCTAGGAGCCAAAAGTGGTCCCTGACCAAACAGCCAACAAGAAAATAGGGACCTCAATCTACAGCTTCAAGGAGATAAATTTGACAACCTGAGGGAACTGAATGGGAAGAAGAAAAAGTTTTGGAGATAGAGGGTGGTATAGTTGCATGACAATATGAATGTACTAATCCACTGAACTATACCCTTATAGCAGTTAAAATAGTAAAATAAAATAATAAATTTTATGTTATGTGTATTTTAGCAGAAGTATTTGAGAACAATCTGAAAATGTGAGATATACAAATATCATGAAATGACAGTAAACTACTCAGATAAAAAATACTCTAGGATGGGATGCCTGGGTAGCTCAGCGGTTGAGCGTCTTTCCTTTGGCTCAGGGCATGATTTCGGAGTCCTGGGATTGAGTCCTACATCGACTTCCCGCATGGAGCCTGCTTCTCCCTCTGCCTGCTTCTCCCTCTGCCTATGTCTTTGCCTGTCTTTCATGAATAAATAAAATCTTAAAAAAAAAAAAAAAAAGAATACTCTAGGAACAGTGCTTCACTGACCACTGTCTGCCTAGATACAAAGTGGGCAAAAGGACCACTGGATTTAGAGTCACTGGCACCAGAGGCTCCAGAAATAGTGCTGCAGTCTCAGGTCATAAGGGTTCTTGTGTCATAAAAGAAAGACAAGCATGATTGGACAGGACTACAGGTTAGTTAGTTATTTAAAGGAGGGAAAGAGAGAGAGAAAGAGCACTCAGGAAGCATGAGGCCACTCCTATGCCTCTTGTTATTTCTAACTATACGACTAGAAAGCATCTTCTGACCTTCAGAATCCAATGGAATTGATTTGTATTTTGGCTTAACCACTTACTAGCTGTGAGAGATACTAGACAAGTTACCTAACTTCTCTAAAGCCTCTGTCTCCTTATCTAGCAAACGATATATCTATGTCAAATATTTATTAAGAAGGTCGGCAAAAAAAGTGTAAGAAAGATAAGGTTACAACAAACTACTATATAGAAGTCAAAAGGGAATGACAACAACAGCTAAATCAGAATGAACACTGACTGATCTTTCACATATTCACTCATTTATTTAATAAATACTTGAGTGTCAGGCACTGGGCCTGACATTGTGGGGAATCATAAAGTCAAAATAAACTTTTCTAGCCTTCAGGGAAGTGAAATCTGCTGATCCCAGATGGCTCCATTAGTCATTTCAGAACACAGAAAGAACCATGAGAAATCATCCTCAGTCACAAGAGACTGCTATTCAGCTACCAGATGCTAAATATATACCGCTGTACTGATTTTCAAAGCTATGCATTCCTGTTATAGCTATAAGGCAAAAAGTTTACTGTATTTGGATTCCAAATGTCCTCTTAATCATGAAGCTCCATGTCTTCATTTGGCCAATACCAGATATATTTTCTCCTAGAGGAAGGTTATCTTTTTAAAAAATTGTTTGTTTTTTTTTTTTAATTAATTAATTAATTTATTTATTTATGATAGTCACAGAGAGAGAGAGAGAGGCAGAGACACAGGCAGAGGGAGAAGCAGGCTCCATGCACCGGGAGCCTGATGTGGGATTCGATCCCGGGGTCTCCAGGATCGCGCCCTGGGCCAAAGACCGGCGCTAAACCACTGCGCCACCCAGGGATCCCTAATTGTTATAGGAGGTGCCTGGGTGGCTCAGTTGGCTAAGTGTCTGCCCTCAGCTGGGGTCATGATCCCTGAATCCTAGGATCGAGCTCCACATTGGGCTCTCTGCGGGGGCGGGGGGGGCGCTGCTGCTTCCTCCATCTGCCATTCCTCCCACTTGTGCTCTCAGGCTCTATCTCTGTCAAATAAATAAATAAAATATTTTTTAAAAAATGAAAATCCAAAATAAAAAATCAGTATACATAACCAGATTCTACAGTGCTGCTTTAGGATATCTGGAAGTCCACCTGTGTCCAAATTAGGACCCTCCCTCTCTGACCACACACCATCCAGCAGTCATGCTGGATATACCTGCCACTCTACAATTTCTCAGGGCAGCCTTGGTCCTTTTAGGCATGTTACTGTGATGAAACCCTTGGGACATTCAAGCAGTTCTATATCCACTGAAGGCTTTTTTTTTTTTAATTTTTATTTATTTATGATAGTCACACAGAGAGAGAGAGAGCGAGAGAGAGGCAGAGACACAAGCAGGCTCCATGCACCGGGAGCCCGACGTGGGGTTCGATCCCGGGTCTCCAGGATCGCGCCCTGGGCCAAAGGCAGGAGCTAAACCGCTGCGCCACCCAGGGATCCCCCAAGCAGTTCTATATCAAATAACTTCTGCAAAGGAGAGATAGCTGAGGCTATCAATCTCAAGCATACCACACTTACCTGGACTTCTCCAGTATAGAAAGAGAAGGCATCTATCTCCTCATTTTATCTCCTATCCGGATTTCACTTCTACTTTTTTTAATCTAAAAAATTTTAATATGGGGATCCCTGGGTGGCTCAGTGGTTTAGCGCCTGACTTTGGCCCAGGGCCTGATCCCGGAGACCAGGGATCGAGTCCCACGTCGGGCTCCCTGCATGGAGCCTGCTTCTCCCTCTGCCTGTGTCTCTGCCTCTCTGTGTGTGTGTGTGTGTCTCTCATGAATAAATAAATAAAATCACTTAAAAAAATAAAAAAATAAATAATAATAAAAAATTTTAATACAGTTCAAATCAGTGTGGCAGGTTCATTTCAGCCCCTTCACTGCCAAAACTGGAGGCAAGGACTGCTTTAGTTTCTCTGCCTTCTTTGTCTGCGATGACCAAGGTATACTAGATATCAGCTGCACTGAACTTTAAACTTCATTATCCTTCTTTTTTCTTGGACCCTGACAGATGTGGCATCCTTTTGCCTGGCCTGAGCAGAAAGTCCTGATTTCTTCAGTTTTGAGAGGCATGACTACAAGCGCACAAGGGAGTATGCAGCCCAAATAGCAAGCAGCAGGAAAAGAGCTCACCTCTATTTCTTGACTGCTTTGTGCTTCCTCACTTTGTTCTCTACTTCTAATGCTCCTTCCTCTGAGATCTTAAAACCTCATCCCTATACACTCAATCTTCTTAGGATACCTGCTCTGTCTTACTGCTGTAATTAAACCCGACTGATTTCTGGTGCAGGCTGCTCATCTTCTCACACCTCTTACAAAGTAGTCAGGGAGGCAGCAGTGGAGAAGGGTGGTATGAGTAGAGGCTGGGTATTATCTTGGTTCTTGCTGCACTCTCAAGCAAAAGCACATTTTCCTTTTGAGGCAGATGCTGTACTGCCTCAAAGCAATAAAATGCCAGCTTTGGAAAAATAGCTACAATCCACCTTCTCTACCTTTACACCCAGGCAGCTGAGTACTGCTGGAGAAAAATCCTACCCAAATACAAACTGCTACCACTATAGTCGTGGTCTCCAACCAGTCAAGTGCTCAGACTACTAAGGCTTTCATGTCTCTTTTTCTTCTCTTTTTAGTATTCCAACCCTTACCAACTCCTTGGCAATTTCTACGATCTCTCCCTCCTCATTCTTCCTTCCAAGTACTAACCAGGCCTGACTCTGCCTAGCTTCCGAGATCAGATGAGACTGGGCACCTTCAAGGTGGTATGGCCACAGACTCTACCTCCTCATTCTTAAGAGCTCTCCTTCACCTAGAAATTTGAGGCCACTGGGTTTAACTCTCTTCAATTTTAATATTCCATTCCTGCTACAAATTTCCCTACATGCATACCCATTTTTACCTCCTCCAGGTGTCCCTGATCCTGTGCTCAGCTGTGTGCTCCAAAGACACATTTGATTTCAGTTATCCCATAAATAAATATACATACTCAAGGCTCCCTGTCTCCCCCATTACCTTCCTACCCTAGGCCCATGTCTTCCACTTACTCTTCTTCTTACTCATCCTCTTTTGAAGATCACCTTATACTAGTTGTCTTTTTCTCATTGGTTATATGCTCTTTTAACACTGTTTTTTGTCTCCAACACTCCACTTAAACTGTTCTTACTAAGATTATCAATGGCATCTTCCTAAATCCAATGTATGCTTTTCAACTGTTACTTTACAGGCCACATTTAACACTACCAATCACTTTTTCTTCCTGAAACTCTACTATCCCAGTTTCTGTGATATTTGTACCACCTCTGTGACCCTTCTTTCTTGGTCTCTTTGGTGGGCTTAAGTGTTGGTACTCTGTAGGTTCAATCCTAAGCCCTTTTCCTTTCTCACACTAATCTACCTCTTTAGATGATCATCAAAATTTGATCATCTTTCAAAATTTTCTCCTTAAAAACCTGCTCTCTGGGAATTAGATATAAAGCAATTACTGGTAATCTTGTTAGATGTCATAATCTTGTTACAGGTCATAATGGATTGTGGTTTTTTGTTTTTTTTTTTTTTAGAAGTCTTTACTATTTAGAGAAGCATACTTGAAGACTTATGGATGAAATGATATGTCTGGGACTTGCTATAAAACACTACAGTTAAAAAAAGAATAAACAAAACAAGATTGGCAAAATTTCAAAAATTGTTAAAACTGGGTAATGGGTACATGAGGTTACATTATATTGTTCTTTCAGCTTTCTGAATTTTTTTAAATTTCTTAATAAAAAATATTTTTAAAGCACAAAACATACTGTTTCTTGCTCTTTACTCTCTATCTCAATTATTGGCACCTTCATCTGCCCAGTTAAGCAAGCATAAAACTTCATCCATGAATTAGCTTTTAAACTATTTTTAAAATTAAATTAATGGCCAAATTTTGCTGATTTTATCTACCTTCAAATATTTTATTTTGCCCTCTCCTCTTCATCTCTACCACCATTTCCATAATCAAGATCCCATTATTTCTCACTAAACTCCCAAAACACACCTAAGGATCTCCCTATTTCCAATCTTATCTTGGTTAAATTCAACCTCCAGTGAAATGATGAATCCAAAACAATTATATCACAACCAGGCTTAAAATCCTGTAACAGTTAGTTACTAACTTTCTAACTATCTTCTCAAAATAGGGTACATATATCATACATGGTAATGTTTATACTGTATCCAGGGGATTATACTGTATATTAACATTGGCAACAATGAAGATGCCCCAGTCTTTTATGTGTTGCTGGGAAAATCCCTCCTTTTCTCTCCCTCTAAATCACTCATAGCCTCTTCCCTACTATCTTGACCCTCAGCATTAACTCCAATAACCATGCAACCCTATTTATATTAGTGACCAAATCATTTTTTTTTATTTTTTTTATTTATGATAGTCACACAGAATGAGAGAGAGAGAGGTAGAGACACCGGGAGCCCGACGTGGGATTCGATCCTGGGTCTCCAGGATCGCGCCCTGGGCCAAAGGCGGGCGCTAAACTGCTGCGCCACCCAGGGATCCCCCAAATCATTTCTTATCCTCAGACTCTAGTTCCCCTAAATTTCTGCCATCTCTTCATCTAAACCCTTCTCCTACTTCTTGGATCTCAGGTACCCTTCAAAGTATGGCCTGTGGCACTCACAATTATTAGCGAAATCCATTCTTTGTGAAATGGTCTCTTACTTCATTCACTCTGAAAATTTTTTTTTCTGAAAATGACTATTTTCTCTGCAGACCTCTCAAAGGGTTGCTAATTTTTTTCACTCATATCCACTATACCAAGCCTAGAAGTAAAATATCTGTTCTTATTGCTTCCCCAACCTCTCTAAAACCCTGAGCTGTGAAACTTATTTCATGTGACTATACAACATCTACCCCAAGGTCATCCATTAATTGGGTTTTGGACATTATTCTTACCATAATTCTGTGTGACTTAAATGTATAACCAACAATTTTCTAATACCCTGGAATCTCAGGTACTTCACTATCTAGTCCAATGACCCCAGCCTCCGCCGGATCCTTAGAAAACTCACTCCATAATCATACCCTAGATATTGTTATCAGTAACTTTAACTTTTCTGCAGCGTTATTTCAAGCATCCTGTGTTTTTTTGTTTTGTTTTGTTTTAAGATTTTATTTATTTATTCATGAGAGACACAAAGAGAGAGGCAGAGACACAGGCAGGAGAAGCAGGCTCCATGCAGGGAGCCTGACGTGGGACTCAATCTGGGGACTCCAGGATCACGTCCTGGGCCAAAGGCAACGCTAAACCGCTGAGCCACCCAGGCTGCCCAAGCATCCTGTTCTTTAACCTCCAATCTTTTCAGCTCACTCCTTTTAATAACCTAGGCTCCAGCAACTTGTTAATCACACCAGGAACTACAAACCAACGATTCCATCATCTTTTTCACTGTCTCTCACATTTTGTATGTCCTATCTTCCCTCCTTATTCAGCTTAAATTCTACTGTTCCTCACAGTCACTTCCTTGCATACAAGCTCAATGCCTTTCTCCCTCTCTTGCTTTGTAGAATTCAGTTCTCAAAACTGACCTAATTAAATCCAACTTTCTTCCTATGTTGTACCTACACTCATACAGCTGAACATGGCTAAAGAAAAGCCACAATCACAATGATTGCTCTAATCTGAAATTCATGACTATTAATTTCAAGTACATAGTTTTCCATATTTCAAATTAGTTCCCTAATACGGAATCCCAGCACACTTATTAGTACTCTTTGATGCATTAAGCCAAATTACTTTTAAAACAAAATTTACTTATTTCTGGAGTTATTTTGAAAATATCACAAACCTTAAAACTGAGGATATCTTTTGGCACAGAAATTCTACTTCTAGGAATTTATTTTAAAAAAGCAACTAAAATATGCAAAGATTTGGTTAAAAGGATACTTATCATAGACTTAACAGTTAAAAGAAGAAAGCTGGAATTATTTTATAATATTGAAAAATTGGAGAAAACCTAGAACTAGGGCACCCCGGGTTGCTCAGTGGTTTAGTGCTTGCCTTCGGCCCAGGGCCTGATCCTGGAGTCCCAGGATCGAGTCCCGCGTCCGGCTCCCTGCATGGAGCCTGCTTCTCCCTCTGCCTGTGTCTCTGCCTCTCTCTTTCTGTGTGTCTCTCATTAATAAATAAGTAAAATCTTAAAAAAAAAAAAAAAAAGAAAAGAAAACCTAGAACTAGATGGCCCTAGTTAAACAAAAACAGAAAGACAATGGGAAAATATTCGTAATATGTTAAGAGAAAGTACATTACAAAAGAGTATGTATAAAGGGACAGAATCTGAAAAAAATTACATACACGTATATATTCATTTAGGACTGCAAAAGCAAAGTCTGGAGGTGTTAATTTCATTACCCAAATAATATTGCTATTTATTTTCCACCTTTTTAATCTGTGTTCTACATATTAATAATGTATCAATTTGCATGCTCATGTGCAGTACATGAGAATATAGCAGTACATTTTAAATTATAGCAGATTTTATGGAAGATTAAATTAGCTGTACTTACTATTATTTCAGATGCAAAACATCTTAAAGGATCATTTCCTGCTTCTTTAGACTGCTCAAAGAATTGTGCTGTCAGCAAAGGGCATTTCAAGCTTTTGAAACAACTAAGGTATAAGAAATGGGTAACTGTGAATACAGTATTTTGTAAGTATAAAATACCTAGCTCTATAAACTTATCAAAGTTAATTTTACATGATAAAAAACATAAGCACCAATGACTCAACCGCATGTAAAACTGCTAATGTAAAATTTTTCCTACTGGGATTGGGGAGAGAATGAGCACACCTTGCTAGACTCCATGTGGTAAGATTTACTTCCATGCCTGGACTATACCAATAGTTACTGAAGGTTTGAGGACCAGTGCTATTTCATGATATAGTTTTCATTAGTTCAAGGAAAATCGCGACAATGTAAAGTTTTTCATAAAGCTCAATTTGTTTTACTTAGAAAACCAAACTATTCTGTAATTAAGCCTTTCCAATTTCTTTAGTTTAAATATTTTCACGCTCATGAAATAATGGGTTTATAAGTGGCAAAAAAAATTTTAATGTTCTAACCTGAAAAAAACAGAAAGCTAACTGTAGTTTTAGTCTTCAAATTTTAGAAGATAAAATTACTCGTCCATGTAATTCAGTAATCTAGTCCAATACAAACATAATACAAACTCTGCATGTGATTTTAAAATCTTTTAGTAGTCACATTAAAAAAGAAACAAGAGAAACTAATAACTTATAAACTTAATATATCTAAAATACGATTATCTCAATGTTAGTATAAAAATTATTGAGGTATTTTATTTTAGTATTTTTTAAATACAAGTCTTCAAAATCCAAGGAGCATTTTATACTTAGAGTACATCTTAATCTTGCTAGCCATATGTCAAATGCGTGACAGTCACAGTGTACATACAGTATTTGTTTAGTGTATAGTCCCCCTGGAATGATATGCTTTTGGCTACTCTGTTACCGTTTTTGTTGTCAAGTTGGATGTTCAACTTTCTGGTGCTACTTCTGTTGCTTTCATAAGAAGAGTAAAAGCACAATTCCCCCACAAAAAGACCAGATTCCTTGAGCTACACCTATCTACTTCCCCTACTTTATTCACTTACTGAATAAAAGCAAGTCATAGAAGCTTACAAATTTAACAAATGGATTTAGGTTTTTAATTTTTAAAAATGTCATTTAATGAGGCAATGACCACTGTATCCCATAATCTTCTAAAATTCAAAACCTGAGCTAGATTTATACATCCATGGCAAACAAATACAGCAAAGAAACATAAAATAACTGACTACTTAATTCCATTGTGAACTATTAGCAAAAATATACTTACAACTTCAGTAATTCATCCTTTAACTTTTCATTTTCATTTTCCAGTGAGTTTTCTTTGTCATTAATGACTTCTTCCACAAAAGGCTTAGTGAATTCTATTAAGGCCTTGCAACACTGACAAAGGCCATAGTCATCTGTTTGGATTTGTTCCTCTGAGTATGGAACAGGAAGGAGAGATAGCTGACTCCAAAGGGTGGACAATGCTAATCCCACTGAATATGCCTTGTTGTTATGAAGTTTCTGAATCACTAAAACAGAGACCAAGTTGTGACCTGAGGTAACTTCATCAAGTATGCTACACATGGGACAATAAGTCCAGTAAAAGTAGAATTATAACATGTTTAAAAAAAACATCGTAAGGACTTTGAAATCAGAATGACAGATCATAACTTAACTGATAGTGTTTTTATCTTTCCTTCTTAGTGGTGCATGAAATACCTGAGCATCTTAAAATCAATCATGCACCTTATAACAGATGCCATGAAATCTTGTTTGTTTCTAACTGTTTACATAGTTAAGACAAAACACTTCCATATTTTTGGTTGTTATTAACTATTAAATAAGAGAAGGCTCTTTGCAAAATATTAAACACTGAAAAAATGAGAAGTAGTATTACTAGAATTACCTTTCTAGGAGACTTTGAGTATGTCAAGTGGTTCAAAGCTGCTTCATTCTCATTTAAAATGAATTTACTCTAACTTCTAGATTCCAGGTCCTTTTATCAGACTCTGAGTTACATTAAGTCATAAAATGAAAACATAATCTCTTCCCATGGATAAATACTGTCTGTTTTGGTTGCCAAGCTCCGTTGCTTAACAGTAATGTTACTGCACTCAGCCATGGGAGACTTTTCTTTCACACTTGTTTCATTCGTAGTTCTTTTGCTATCCCCAGCCCCAACTTCCCAATGCTAAGGATAAGCAATGTTTGCACAATACTGTTCTTAACCAAGATACAGGACCCACCACAATGCTAACAGACTGAGTAAAGCAGACATCACAGAGGCAATCCTTTAAATATGTTTACAGAGAAAGTTTTAGATATAAGTTGCAGATACGAAGGTTAAGCAGAAAGCTATAGATTACAACACAGTACCTGAAAAACAGCAGGACATTTAACAAAATATATACTGGGTACCCATCTGTGCCAGGTATTGTCATCTTTCTACAGGTAGCAGGATTCAAACTGGTACTGCTATTGCTAGTATAAGCAGAGTACTCAATAATTAGTCATAAATTTACTTTGGTATAGTGCTGACATTTTGGACTAATATCAAGAACTTAACACAGATAAAATAAGAAACATTTAGATATCAAAATACTCATTACCTGTTTGTAATGGCTGAAGTAAAAGAAGAATAATTTGGGATATCTGTTTTCCAGAGGGCTCTTCAATCAGTTCAAGCAAACCCAACAATAATTCCTTTGGATTACATAACTATAAAAATATTCACAATTGAACCTGTTTAATACAAGTTGTATTTAAAGCCACATGATTACTATTTTTAAAAGGCAGCATATATTGAGAAAATAGAATTATTTTTAACAGTAAAACACCTCATATAATTGTTTAAAAAGATACACTAACAAACAGTCAGAATCTGACTGTCAAATCACTAAAACTAAAAAGCAAAAAGTCATGAGTGTCTTAATAGACAATTATACTTGGGGTGCCTGAGTGGCACAATTAAGCGTCCGACTCTTGGTTTTGGCTCAGGTCATGATCTCAGGGTCTTGGGATCAAGCCCTTTGTCAGGCTCTGGGCTCAGTTTGGAATCTACTTCAGATTCTCTCTCTCTCTCTCTCTCACTCTCTCAAATAAATGAATAAAATCTTAAAAAAAGACAAGTCTATTTGGATACTGAAATTCCTAGGAAAAGTTAGAAAAATAGGAGAATAGAAGAACTTGATTACCAAAACTGAGGTTTCTTTTGAGCTTTGACTGTCTACTCTGAAAGCTACCTTAGTTTCCCATGACTTCAGCAGGTGGGACTTTTCTATCTCACACTGTCAGGGTATTTAAATGAGTAAGTCTCTTTTGTCCTTTCTGAACAGATACAACTTTGCACTGCCTTCTGACTACCCAGAATTACCACACTTGCCTTGTTTTCCTTTTAAAGTAGTTAATAACTACTATCTAGATGGGGTTTCCACTTTCCAAGTATGTATTTTTATTTGTACTGATCTCTAAGTAGCTCTTTTTTTATGTCCTTTTCTTTAGATTTTATGCTCCTTTATCATCATTTTTTACTTAAAACTCTAGTAACCTTTTATCAAGTCTCTAAGGTTGTTGGTTACAACAAATCTCCTTCCTATTCCTATATCCCCTGTGATCATTTGCATTCTTGATTTTTAATAATCTTTTAGAGAATATACCACAGAGAAAAGAGGACTGAGATTTGCTAGTTCCAATGTTGTTAAAAGAACAGCATGGGCTTGGAACTAACTGCTTCTCTAAACCCTGAATTCCACATCTATATGATAAGCTACTTATTAAAAATAGAATGTTTTAAGTATCTTCTTGGAGATTCTGAATCAGTGGGTCTGAGATGAGGTTAGATACTTCTTATATTCAGAAATTTGGAAAAACTGAAGTGGACTTGCCCATCCAATCAATAATATTGGGCCTTTTCTCCAAAGAATTCTCTTCTTTATTTTCATGAGCTAAAAGCTTTATCACCCAAAATGAGCATTAAACATTAAAACAAAATACTGCTGGCTATCATGACAAAGAGAACCTGATTTTGTTAACTTACCTTTACCAATAAATCAAGCATCAGAAAATAATATTTTCTTTTCTCATCTTCCTTATTCCACAAAAGACATCGAACAACAGGACCAACAAGATTCCAGCCCATATTCTTAATGATGACCTGTAAAAACATTTTTAGAGTAAAGAAAATACTGCCATCTATAGGGCTCTTACAGTAAGCTTTCTTAACTTGAAGGAGCTTAATATTTCCTCTGAAATAGCTATGAGGCAAATGAAGCCTACAGCATCTCACCACTGACTTCTCAGGGTTGGCTATTAACAACTCTCAACAGTTTAAAATAGTTTTTAATACTCTCACTGAAGAAAGGTGAATGGACATTTACTTTAAACCAGGTAAGTTGGTCTTTTTTATACTTTAGTTTCTCTATTTCTAATAAGAGAATTAATTTGAGCAAATACTTAATTTTCACGGAGAATTTTGCTCTCCTGATTCATAAAGAAATACACCCAACCAAAAAAAAAAAAATTACACCCAACACTTATGAACCTTTTAAAGTAACTTGGAAAATCTGTAAATATATTATGATTACATAACTTATGTAAAAGGGGATGCCACTTCAGTTACTTTCCCTTCAACATACAAGTTATTTCTATTTTCAAAGATATTTCAGAATGTTTACCACACAAGTAAAAGTTTATATTCTTAATTTGTGATTCACATTCATAATCAAAACCTCTATTTCCAGAACTAGCAATAATATACTCCATTTCTCTGGGCTGCTTTCTACTTCAACTTATCAGTATTTAATCAAGAATACACTATTATATGTCAAGTCCCTAAAATATTCTGGTGCTATAAATTAAGTAAGGTAAGATCTCTATCCTGATAAGAGTTTACCTTCTAGATTCACTCATTAAAAAAACACATCTATTCCGGAAGACAATTAAGCACATACTCCCTCCATGACCCCAGTCTTATAAGATAATCAAACCCCAGAGTACTGAGATATAGCAGGAGAACTGCCTTCCATTTAGGAAAGGCAAGAAAGGCTTCTCTGAAGAGACAGTGACTAAGCTAAAATTGTTAGGGAAGTCTGTCAGGTGGAAAATATATTTAAGGCTCTGAAACAGCAATGTGTAAAGGTGTAAGACTTAACATGTCCTAGAGAACTAGTAACAGAATATGTTAGCATATATGAACATATAGCTCACAAAAGAGGAAATGCCGTTCATATTTTTGCTCACTTATCAATTAGACATTTTAGCATTTGTCTTTATCAATCTGCATGAGCTCCCTTCTTGTATTTACAACAGATAATTATTTGGTTTTTTTGGTTGTCTGTATTTTTTTATAAGCAAAATACACTTACTTTTCTTTGATTCTTTTCCTATTAGCTTTTAAGTCTAAATTGGTTTCTCTCCTTTAGAGATTCATAAACAATTCATTTATATTTCAACATATATATATTTCACCTTTCTTTTTATTCAAAAGATTTATGTTAGAAACATGGAATAAAGGGCGCCTGGGTAGCTCAGTTGGTTAGGCTTTCAGGTCTGGATTTTGGGTCAGGTGATGATCTCAGGGTGGAAATCGAGCCAGTGTCTGGGCTCAGCAGGGGGTCTGCTTACCCCTCTACCCCTCTCCTCGACTCATGCTTGCATGCACATGCACTCTCTCTTAAATAAATACATCTTTAAAAATTATTTTTTTAAAAATGAATGCTTGAATCGATTTTTTTTTTTAAACAAATAGCAAAACAATCATTCTTGGGATGCCTGGGTGGCTCAGCTGTTAAGCGTCTGCCTTTGGCTCAGGTCGTGAACCCAGAGATCAGGACTGAGTCCTACATCGGGCTCCCTGCATGGAGCCTGCTTCTCCCTCTGCCTATGTCTCTGCCTCTCTCTTTCTGTATCTCATATAAATAAATAAAATAAAAACAACAACAACAACAAAAACAATCATTCTTTTTAGCTAATGGGAAAGACAACTCAGCTGTTCTAAATATTTTCATTTCATATTCATAAATCATTCCATACTAGTTCTTTCTTTTGCCTGGCATGCTCTTCTTTCAGATAGCTCTTCTCTCTGTGGTTTACTCCTCTCCTTCCTTTTCAAATCTCTGCAGTCTCACCTAACATGGTTCATCCCCTAGTTATACTTTATTTTTCTCTATAGTATTCATCACTTTCTAACATACCATATAGTTTATTAGTAGATACCTGTCTTCATTAGAGTTTAAGATCCATATGAGCAGTTTTGTTTACTGCTGTATCTATTCCTAGCATCTAGACAAGGGCCTGTTAAAAAATAGGTGCTCCATAAAAACATTTTGAATGATGTCTGTTATCTTTAAGGGTAACAAATTATATTCCCTCCAAAGCTTTGATATTCTGTTGTTTTTATTAATTTTTTCCAAATTACTACATATTTATTCCACCATTACCTATTAAGACTACTCTTGCTTTTTAAAACTTAACTAGGGGATCCCTGGGTGGCTCAGCGGTTTAGCGCCTGCCTTTGGCCCAGGGCGCGATCCTGGAGTCCCGGGATCGAGTCCCGCATCGGGCTCCCGGCATGGAGCCTGCTTCTCCCTCTTCCTGTGTCTCTGCCTCTCTCTCTCTCTCTCTATGTCTATCATAAATAAATAATCTTTAAAAATAAATAAATAAATAAAACTTAACTAGCTCCTACTAGACTCTACTTTTCCAAATAAGCACTTCTTTGCCTTTCCATTGGTGTATTTCTACCCTATAAGTAATCTCTGAGAATTAACTATATGGGAAATTCTAGATTTAAATAAGATTTTGCATATCTGAAATGAAAAAAAATAATTTTGATAAAATTCTTTACAAACATCATCTCAGCTGCAAGGTATCTAGTCATTATGTAAATAGTGAATAATTATGAGGAAAAGGAATCAATACTATCCATAAACTACACCTTGTTTACTTTAATACTAACTACCTACAAAGTAAGATTATCCCCAAATGACACATGAGAATGCCAACGTTTAGAGATTACTGGCATGCCTAAATATCAACTAAAATGTGGCAGAACCAGGAACTGCATATAAATCTGTTTGGCTCCAAAGCCCATGCGTTTCCCACTATACCAATGGATATCCAATGGGGACAATTTTGTTCCCTGTCTACCAGGGGACATTTGGCAACATCTGAGGACATTTTTGATTGTCATTTCAGAGTGTGGGGTGGTTACTACAAAGTATCTAGAGTACTAATGTTGAGAGGCCCTATACTATAGGACAAACTATTCATATGGCCTTTTTTTTTTAATTTACAAAAAAAACAGAGTATAGTAAATCTTGATCAAGCCTGATTGTATCACCTGGCAAGAAAGCTAAGCTGCAGTCAGTTTGAAATACGGTCTTATAGGGGATCCCTGGGTGGCTCAGCAGTTGAGCACCTGCCTTTGGCCCAGGGCGCAATCCTGGGGTCCCGGGATCGAGACCCACGTCGGGCTCCTGGCATGGAGCCTGCCCCTCCCTCTCTCTATTATGAATAAATAAATAAAATCTTAAAAAAAAAAAAAGAAATACGGTCTTATCAATGTCTGAACCTTTGAATTTAGCAAACCACACATTACAAAGATGATTCTCAACCTATTACAGTTAAAACTCACCAAGTTCAAAAATATCACTATCACCCAATTTTCTTCTTTTGTTTCAAGTTTTTATTTAAATTCCAGTTAACATAATCACCTAATTATTTTTTTAAAGATTTTTATTTATTTATTCATGAGAGACACAGAGAGAGAGAGAGCAAGGCAGAGACAGGTAGAGGGAGAAGCAGGCTCCATGCAGGGAGCCTGACATGGGACTCGATCCCAGGTCTCCAGGATCAGGCCCTGGGCCGAAGGCGGCACTAAACCACTGAGCCACCTGGCTGCCCAAGAAAACTTCTATGTAAATAAATAGTACTATAAATGAAGAAAGAGTGTGCTCCTTGAAAGATGATCTTTTCTTGTATAAAAAGGCAAGTACGGAGCAGCCCGGGTGGCTCAGCGGTTGAGTGCTTGCCTTCGGCCTGGGGCATGACCCTGGAGTCCCAGGATTGAGTCCCACATCAGGCTCCCTGCATGGAACTTGCTTCTCCCCCTGCCAGTGTCTCTGCCTCTCTCCCCATCTCTCTGTGTCTCTCATGAATGAATGAATGAATAAATAAATAAATAATAAATAAATAAATAAAATCATAAAAAAAAAAAAAAGGCAAGTACAAAGACAAAAAATTTGGCAGTGTTGCCAACACTGCGTCCCAGGAAACATTTGTTTCTCATTCCCAAAAGATCCTTTTCCCATTGATGAAAATGATTTTTCAGATAATTATAGCTGCATGATATTGGCCAGTAAGGCCATCTAAGTCTGCTCCTATTCTGATTTTATGCACCCAAATATTATCTTTTTACTTCTTTAAGATTTATTTGAGAGAGCGAGAATGAGCAGGGGAGAGGCAGAGGGAGAAGCAGACTCTCTGCTGAGCAGGGAGCCTAAAGCAGTGCTCCATCCTAAAACCCAGGATCATCATCTGAGTGGAAAGCAGATACTTAACTGACTCAGCCAGCCTCCTAAATATTATCTTACTTAATATCTGGTTTTCCATATATATCTGGCTTAAGAAAGAGAAAGTGCAGATTACCAAAAATGAGTATCTAGGTTGCCTAATACAGTACTAAATGTAAATTAATAATAATCCAAATGCCACTTTTGATCCCTAAAGCAGAAATAATCTTTGCTCTTTTAAAGCACTTTACTCAAACTCTATCAATTATTTCATTTATTCTGCCCTATTGCTAGTTGTTTACATGATTATCTCTTCCACCAGACTATAAGCACCTTCAAGTGTATGAATAGCCCTAAGCCCTTTTTTGTTTTCCATGTTCCTACTGTAGAAATTTGATTCTTAAATGTTTGATGAATGAGTGGATAAACAATAGCATCATGTGGCTATTATCTTCCTAGTAAAGACTAAAAAATACTCATAAAGATTGCACTTACCTTATTCTTTTCATTTTGAATAATTTCTAGTAGCTGCTCTATGTGCCCTTCATCTATGCATCTTTGGCCTGCTAATTGAAATAGGCCAAAATCTTCTTCTTTGAAGTCTTGTTCTTCTAGGATTTGCTGACAAAAACAAAATGAAGACAAAACGTTTGGTGAATAAAAAAATTCAATAACTACTTGATTTATTCTCTCTCTGGAAATGAAATTTGTTTGAATTCTAAGTTGCACATTAGCATATGTGTGAAAATTAGGATAAGCCTGAAAAAGTAGTTTAATGATCTTGAAATCCACACTGCCAAAAAAAATTCTACAATAAAGATCAATATTAAAAATTTTAAAGGTTAGACAAGTAGGTCACTTGGAGAGATAATCCAATCTGCCTTCTGGCCCTCCTGCTATTTATTCACAGGTCAAACAAAGCAAGGATTAGAGAAGATAAACAATTTGAGTGACCCTAAGTATAACTAAAAATAATCTTGCATTTAACTTTACAAGAAGAAAAATTACTTACACATCTCATTATTATGGATTGAAGTTCTTCCACAGCCATTCCTCGTTATTTTTCCTAGTTTTTATGCTGAAATATAAAACAGTTAACTATCAGTGATATTACAGTATTAATGAGTTATGTTTCATTCTGATGAATTATCAGTAAATACAATAAGGAAAATACGACATTTTAAAGCTGAAATATTTTGACTTAAAGTATTTTAGCTTAAGGAGTAAAAAACTGTTGCATCTTTTAGGTTTTCTAGAATAGTTTTGAAAGATCTACCTAAAAAAAAAAAAAAAAAAAAAAATCCTCCAGGGTACGGCCAAACAGGAGCGCAAATATGGGCTACGTAAATGGCTTTAAAAAGGCTAAGTATTTCTTTTCTGAAAAAATTTCCCAAAAGTGTCCCTGAAATCAGTTCTAGTCATTAGGGGATTTTAAAAAATGCTTTAATGTCCCACTTGACAAACAGTGGAGCCTACACAACTCACCCCAGAGCGGGTGGAAGTTCCGATGCCCACAGTCCCAAGTGCGACCCGGACATTCTTCTGTAAGAGATGCGGTCCCCCAGTAACCCAGCTGGTGTAACCGCCACGCCGCACGGACACGAAGCAACCGGCAGCTCTCGGGGGAACGCGGCTCGGCTCCCGCAGGCGCCGTGTGCCCAGCGGCAAGACCCTGCCCCCGGCCCGCAGCGGGAGCTGGGTCAGCCGGGTCCCCGCGGCCGCGCGCTCCAGAGCGGATAAAAGCCCAGCGCGCGTGCGGACTGCATCCAAAGGAAGCCATTTCTCCCGATTCCTGCGGGCCTAGGCGTTCGGGCCCATGACCTCGTGGGGCCTTGCGGGCCGCGGCGCCGGCTCCCCCGCGGCTCACAGCTGGCCCCGAGCCCCGGCCACCCCCGACGCCCGGGCGCGTCCACTTACCGCCGGGCCTCTCGCCGCTCTCGGCGGCTTCCCCCACCTCCTCCGGCCGCGCAGGCCTCTCTCCGGGCCCCGCCCCTCCCCGGCCGGCCCCGCCCCGCGCTAGCGAGGGGGGCGGAGCCTCGGGGGAGACGCCGGGTCCCGGGCTGACCTTCTGACGCGTTTCCCATGGCTGACTCCGCCGGGCCGCGCTCGCCCGGCCTCAAGGCTCGGACGCCCCGCGCTTCCCGAAACGCCTCAGGTAAGAAGGGCCCAGAGAACCGAGCCCCTCGAGGGTTCCACACGGAGGCGCGCGGGACACACCCGGAAGACTGCCCCGGGGCAGAGAAGGCCCAGAGCGTCCCATCCCCGGCCTCGGGTCTTCTGGGAAAGACCTCCACACCCTCACCTCTTCACACCGGTGTTCCAAGATTTGCCCCAGAACCGGTCTCTGAGGGAAAGGGAGTAGAGGAGCTGGAGTCTAGAGCTGGCTCGCCAGAAAGGGCAAGCGACCGGGGCAGCCCAGCTTGGAGATGCACTCCTGCTTTGGCTCCGGGCCCTCTGAGGTGTCACCCCACCCCTGCTCTTTCCCTGTGAGCGAACATTCGGGGGAACATTTCGGGTTGCCTACACCTCAGATTTGCAGGAGCCCGTGACCGTGCAGCTGTTTTACATGAGAAAATTCAATCCCCGAGGAGATTACATTTTAACCAAGAAGAATTCGGGAATAATTAGCGAACTGAATTCCGCTTGCCCATTTCATTTGTTTTTTCAAACGGGATTGGAAAGTAACGTGTGGGGAAGAAAGAAAAAAGGTTGTCTGCAGTTTCAGTAGGAATCTGTCCTGTAAACTACTGTGTTTGCGAAGACTTGAACTCCACAATAATTTTATTATTATAAATATAAAATATTTTTATTATTATTGTAGGTGCTAAACAGACAAATGCTTTAAAACAAGAAGATGCTTCTAAAAGGTAGGAGAACTACTTGGACAACTGCATTAGCTTATCTATTTATCTCATGTTAATTTAACCATTTTTATAAACAAGAATGGGAGATACTTTAAAAAAAATTATGCGAAAGAAAGAGAGGATCAGAAAAGCACTATAATTTCTCATATATAGACTCATTATATCTCTCTACTCCAGGCTTTAAAAAAACCAAATCAAGACACTTTTAGATTGCTGGTGAAGGTATGAGTATTTGTAGAAAGATGTCTAAGGGAATAAACATTCTTCAGTTAAGCAGGTACTCCTTTTCCACCTCTTCAGGTACACTTGCCTTTTATTACTTTATATACCAGAGACTCCAAGAAACCTTTACTGTTCTTCGTTTACATTATGTCCATATTTTCAGCAAAAAAGTCCTATTCTGTTGCTTGGCATCTCCTAAACAGACTAGATTTACCTCCTGTCACAAAGTTTCTAGAATAGGAGTAGTCTATGAGAATGATTTAAATACATAGGTCAATATTTTATTCTTTAAAAAAAAAAAAGATTTATTGGGATACCTGGGTGGCTCAGCAGTTGAGCATCTGCCTGTGGTTCAGGGCATGATCCTGGGATCCAGGATCAAGTCCCATATCAGGCTCCCTGCATGGAGCCTGCTTCTCCCTCTGCCTGTGTCTCTGCCCCCCCCCCCCGTGTGTGTGTGTGTGTGTGTGTGTATGTGTCTCTCATGAATAAATAAAATCTTAAAAATATGTTTATTCATTTTAGAGAGTGAGCAAGTATATGTGTGGGATGCAGGTGAAGAGGCTCCACACTGAGTGTGGAGCCTGACTCAGGGCTTGATCTCACAATCCTGAGATCATGATCTAAGCTGAAACCAAGAGTCAGATGCTTAACCACCTGAGCCGCCTAAGGGTTTCAGTGATTTATCCTTTTATATCAGGCAGGTAGTGGCTGTCATTTACTCATTCTTTCAAAAATTATTTACCAAATAGGAGATATGCCAGGCCTGTGTTAAGCCCTGAGGATACGGTTTTGAGCAGAATAGACACAGTTCTTTTCTACTGGAACAGAGAAATACCGATTAAATTGTCACAACCGAATACATAATTACATATTGTGATAAGTGCTATAAAGGAAAAGACTATGAAGTTATCAGATGGAACTAACAGGTGTTCAGATTAGCTGGGGATTCTCAGGGAAAGACTTCGCTAAGGAGGTAATAAACCGAGCCCTGAAGGCTAAATAGGCATTAATCAGAGTCCTGAGGAGAGTCCAGCCAGAGATGGCAGTATATATGAAGGCCCTGAGAAGAAAAAGGTCAGTTCAAGGAAAGGAAAGATACCCGTGGTAGTGTATGGCATTTTGAGCAAGGGAAGAAAGGAGCACAGGAAAAACTTAGGATTCCATTCTTATAGAATCTGGTGGGCCATGGTGAGAAATTTAGATTTTCTAAGTGCAAATATGAAAACATCAAGTAATAGAGTGATGAAATTTAAGTTTAAAAAGTTTTAAGAGGAGTGCCTGGATGGCTCAGTGCTTGAGCATCGCCTTTGGCTTGGGGCGTGATCCCCAGGTTCTGGGAGAGTCCTGCATGGGGCTCCCATGAGGGAGCCTGCTTTTCCCTCTATGTCTCTGCCTCTCTCTGTGTGTCTCTCATGAATAAAAATCTTTAAAAATTTAAAAATAAAAAAATAAAAGTTTTAAGATGTTAGCGATGGTGATCATCTAGGAATAGAGAAATTGGATGGATTTGAGATCTATATTTTTTTAAAGATTTATTTACTTGAGAGAGAGCATACAAGAAGAAATTTAAAAAATTAACGGATGAGAGGTACAGAGGGAGAGGGAAAGAGGGCTTTCTGCTGAGCAAGGAACATAGTACGGGGCTCACTACCATGATCCTGAGTGGAAACCAAGAGTTGGACACTTAACCAACTATGCAACCTGAGTGCCCCTTGTGATCTATTTTAGAGAATATTTCCCTGTGGAGTAGCATGACTTGGTTTTATGATACACTGCAAGAGTAAAGTTAATACTGATAATGATGGTAATTTGCAATTTTCTTCAATAGTGTGATCTGACCACAAACCCAAGAAGATTATATTTTATTGTAAGCAGCATAGTGTGAGAAGTATAGATACACTGAAATGTACTGGGGGCAAATTACCCAGGATGATGAAACAATTAAAAATCCATGGGGTAACTAACCAAATAGTTGTTGAAGGGAATAAACCTTTATAAATCTATGCCCACTGAAAAATACTTCAACATCAATCCAATCAAATACTATTAAGCCAGGAATTAAAGAGCTTTACAAAAATGTAAAATAATTCTTCTCTTTTCACAAAATATGTAATAGGTTCATTACAACTTTTGTTACATGAATTAATATGTGCTCTACATTTTTCTCATTTTTAATCCAAATATGGTGAATATCAATACATAAAATCCACATAAGCAAAAGTTCTAGTTTTTAGAGTGTAAGGCAATGCTGAGACTGAAAAATTTGAGAACCATTGCTATACACCATACTATCTGTCATCATTTAGGACCAGAGGACAACAGTGACAAAGGGCTGTTCATGGGAAGCAGCTCTAGGCATCAGTCAAGAGTGAGTGTAGTGGGGCGCCTGAGTAGCTCAGTGGTTGAGCCTCTCCCTTTGGAGACTGAAAAATTTGAGAACCATTGCTATACACCATACTATCTGTCATCATTTAGGACCAGAGGACAACAGTGACGAAGGGCTGTTCACGGGAAGCAGCTCTAGGCATCAATCAAGAGTGAGTGTAGTGGGGCGCCTGAGTAGCTCAGTGGTTGAGCCTCTCCCTTTGGCTCAGGTTGTGATCCTGGGGTCCTGGGATCGGGTCCTGGGATCGAGTCCCACGTCAGGCTTTCTGCATGCAGGCTGCTTCTCCCTCTGCCTGTGCCTCTGCTTCTCTCTCTCTCTCTCTCTGTGTCTGTCATGAATGAATAAAATCTTTTAAAAAATAAAAATAAAAAAAATAAAATAAAAATGTGAGTGAGTGTAGTGTGGCTCTTATGCAGGTTGATGTAGTTAACTGCTTGAGTCAACAATTCCTTAGTGGAGGTTGTAGACTGATTGTAGTACATGGCATAGCTTTTGTTGGTAGGCAGCAATATGAGAAAAATAAAATAATGTCTTTCATAAAGCCAAATACATTTGATATAAACAACTGCCTTTTAATTTGTATCCATGTCTTTTATACTTCTTTGATGTAAGAATGGCCTTTATGAAATCATGGGAGAACAGTTGTTAGTTGCAAATTTCTTCTTGTTTTAATGTTCCTATTTGGCAAAAGAAATAGTTGGCAATCCTGTGTCATCCTCCTTTTTTTTTTTCTTTTAAGATTTATTTATTTATTTATGATAAAGAGAGAGAGAGAGAGGCAGAGACATAGGCAGAGGGAGAAGCAGGCTCCATGCCGGGAGCCCCACACGGTACTCAATCCTGGGACTCCAGGATCGCACCCTGGGCCAAAGGCAGGCGCCAAACCACTGAGCCACCCAGGGATCCCCCATCCTCCTTTGTTGTAGAATATTATTATTATGTTATATTGTTTCTGTAGAATGTTATTGCTCTAGGCAAGGAATTAAGAGTGTAAGGTCTTTTTTTTTATTTTTTTTTTAATTTTTATTTATTTATGATAGTCACAGAGAGATAGAGAGAGGCAGAGACATAGGCAGAGGGAGAAGCAGGTTCCATGCACCGGGAGCCCAACGTGGGATTCGATCCCGGGTCTCCAGGATCGCGCCCTGGACCAAAGGCAAGCGCCAAACCGCTGTGCCACCCAGGGATCCCAAGAGTGTAAGGTCTTGAGAGTCACTTAAAAGAGGGCGGTAAAATGAATACATTAAAGATCCAGATATGAGAGCCAAGTCAAGGCCCAGGAGGCTGGCTGAGGTAGTTCTGGTGGGAAAGTAGAAACCAGTTCAGGAAACGAGCAAATAAGTTACCAAGATGGTTGGATATCTTTGGTCCTATGGCAAGGATTCTCAACCTCTTTGCATATTAGGATTGTCTGGAGCAATTTTAAGAAACACCAACCTCAGACAGGCCCGGTGGCGCAGCGGTTTAGCGCTGCCTGTAGCCCAGGGCGCGATCCTGGAGACCCGGGATCGAGTCCCGCGCCAGGCTTCCTGCATGGAGCCTGCTTCTCCCTCTGCCTGTGTCTCTGCCTCTCTCTCTCTCTCTCTCTCTCTCTCTCTCTCTCTGAATAAATAAATAAATAAATAAATCTGAAAGAAAGAAAGAAAGAAAGAAAGAAAGAAAGAAAGAAAGAAAGAAAGAAAGAAAGAAAAAGAAAAACACCAACCTCCAGTCCCCGTCCTCAGAGATTCTGATTGAATTAGCGTATAGTGGGACTTAGGCATAGTATCTTTTTTTTTTCTTTTTTTTTTTTCCCGCCCCACCCCTAGGCAGAGTATCTTTTAAAGAAATCTCCTTAGGGGCACCTGGGTGACCTAGTGGTTGAGCATCTATCTGCCTTTGGCTCAGATCATGATCCCAGAATCCTGGGATCCAGTCTTGCATCAGGCTTACTATAGGTAGCCTGCTTCTCCCCCTGCCTATGTCTCTGCCTCTTTCTCTGTGTCTCTCATGAATAAATAAAATCCTAAAAAAAAAAAAAAAGAAAGAAATCTCCTTAGATGATCTTAATGTGCAGCTAGGATTGAGAACCACTCTCCTAGAGCCATTGTTAATCAGATAGACTCTGCTTTTATGTTCCATGATGTGTAGAGACCAGCAAAGGATGATAGTCCTACTGGTGCCAGGGCAAGGACTAGCCCTCCTAGGAAGATTGTTTTCCTAAACTACATAGTCCTATCAATATAGTTATTTAATAAGACTTAACAAAAGCAAACACTTCCTTGCAAATAGGACTCTATCTTGTCAGACTGGGCTATCATTAACTTTTGAGACTTGACACAAATTTTTACTTATAAGAACAGCTGTAGTTGTCTTTTCCCCCTCCAATATTTCCTGATTACTAAGGATTTCAAAGGAAAAGTTGTCTTTTTAGGTACACACAGGACTGACTGAGAGAGTATAAACACTAACAGGCAAAAAAATTTCATACTCTAAGCCTTGGAAATCATCCTGTCATTATGGCAGACTTCTGTGTGTTAATACTTTAAAAGTATTGGATCAAAAGTAAAAACATTAAAAAAAACATAAAATTAAATAGCAGACTTCTGTGTGTTAATACTTTAAAAGTATTGAATCAAAAGTAAAAATATTTAAAAAAATAAAATTAAATAGCATGTTGTATTTGTACTATATTCTAAGAAAATTGGCTATGATAAAACTTGTAAGTAGAATAATTTCTAAATTTTATTTTATTTATTTTTTAAAAACTATTTATTTATTTATTCATGAGAGACACACAGAGAGAGAGAGAGAGGCAGAGACACAGGCAGATAGAGAAGCAGGCTCCACACAGAGAGCCCAACACGGGACTCAATCCTGGGACCCCAGGATCACGCCCTGGGCCGAAGGCAGGCACTAAATTGCTGAGCCACCCAGGGATCCCCCTAACTTCTAAATTTTAAATAATTTTTTTGTTTTTTAATTTTAGGAAAGCAGAACTAGAAGCAGCTGTGAGAAAGAAGATTGAATTTGAGAGAAAAGCTCTTCATATTGTTGAACAGCTTTTAGAAGAGGATATTACAGAAGAATTCCTAAGGGAATGTGTATGTGTTGAGAAATTATTACATTATTTAAATCTGTACGATATGAAACTTCCTTGCATTATCAAAATCTTTGACTCTTCTCAGTCACAAGATGCAGGGAGCATGCTATGTAATTCATGCATTTTATTTTATTTTTTTTCAAAGATTTATTTATTTATTTATTCAGAAAGAGAGAGAGAGAGGCAGAGACACAGGCAGAGGGAGAAGCAGGCTCCATGCAGGCAGCCTGACACAAGACCCGATCCCGGGTCTCCAGGATCACACCCTGGGTTTCAGGCAGTGCTAAACTGCTGCATCACTGGGGCTGCCCTAATTCATACATTTTAAAATAATCAACTATTACGCATTCCTGGTTGTATAATGACTTTAAAATACACTAAAGAAAAATAACATGCCTGTTTAACCGCTTAATAATAGTTCTTTAAACAAGTCTGTTAATCTCACTTGATTTTCATCACTTTGCACTAATTATCCCAATGTTATTTTCCATATTCTGTGTGTTGTCCTATTTTAGTAACAGAAGGTTATTATTTTTGTTAATGTAGTTATTTTAGTTTTGATATTTTAAAAACCTGAAATATAGATCACTTATGATTTAACACATAACAAGAGAATTGTAATCTGTATTAAAAGTTGTTGTTCTTTTTTTAACAACTCTATTGCGTTAAAATTTGACCATGAGTATATCAAAGGGAAATAATTGATACTAGTTTATAAGTACCTAATCAGTCCCCTGTACAGGTTTTCAGAAGCTGAAAGATTTTGCAGAAAAATTTGTCAGGACTCACAAGGACACCTTTGATATACATTGTTTTTAAAGATAGTTCTTTAAAAACAAGTAAATTATATTTTACTTTACATGTGACTAATTTTTTGAATAGTACATTTTTAAAATGAAATCCACTTTTTAGTGTTTTGCTTTGGAATAGCAATCGCTATAGCACCACTTCTTTTTCCTGCCTCAGATTTATTTCATGAACTATGTATCTACAAAGATGCACAGTCTCCTGGCAGAAGTTTTTTCAGGTTGTTTATATTTTTAATAATAGCTAACATTTTTGAGTGCTTACTATGTGTTGAGTGTATTTATTTTCTCCTCTCCATCATACCTATGAGCTAGACATTATTCCTCTATTTTCAGATGAGATCAGTGAGGTGTAGAGCACTGATAAATGAAGTTTTCCAATAATTTAGCAGGGGAAATGCTCCTCTCATTTCATTGTAGGGGAAGTTCATCACACCTGCTCACTACAGCGATGTCGTGGATGAGCGTTCTATTATCAAACTCTGCGGTTATCCTTTATGTCAGAAGAAACTAGGAATTGTAAGTAACAAATATTTTAAAATAGAAGCTTTAATTTTTTATATTTAGCAAAATACTTTGTAGATAAGAGAAGAAGTGAAACAGGCTTGAACTAATGACACGAGTTAGCCAAAGTTATGATATGTAGATCATTTAATCTTGTAACATAAAGTTTATATTTATTACTTGAATTCTTCTTAAGCTATACTTTTTTTTTCCCTTTAGGTACCAAAGCAGAAATATAAAATTTCTACCAAAACCAATAAAGTCTATGATATTACTGAAAGAAAGGTAAGCTTAAAGGCTGTTCTCACTGTGGCAGTTAATTTTTAATATACTAAATGGAATTTTTTTAAAAAGTTGAAAAGTTTGCCTTTTAGAAAGTAGCCATGCTAAAAATTTATTTGAAAATATTTCATTCAAGATATTAGAAAAAACTGCTCATGCTTTAATTAATACTTGAACATTTAAAAATTCAAAGTGCAGGATCACCTGGGTGCCTCATTCAGTTAAGCGCCCAACTCTTGATTTTGGGTCAGGTCATGATCTTAGTGTAGTGAGATCAAGTCCCACATCAGGCTCCTGTGCTGGACATGGAGCCTGCTTGGGATTTTTTCTCTGTCTTCTGCCTCTCCCTCCCCCGTTAAAAATAAAATTTAAATAAAATAAAATTTAAATTGAAAATTAAAATTTGTGCATACCAGCACAACTTAAAGCAAGTAAATCAGGAACAGAATAGAGATCCAGAAACATACTAACCATGTATGTGGATACTTTGTATATAATAACAGGAATATTGTGGATCAGTGGAGAAAGTATGAATTTTTCAATAAATAGTAGTGGCACAAATAGTTATCCAAATGGAAAAACTGAAAATTGATCCCTGTTTCAGTGTACATAAAAAAATCAATTTTAGGTAGATTAAAGATTTAAAGTTAAAAGATAAACACTGTTTCAAAGAATATGGGAAGGTTTCTGTAAACATGGAGAATTTCTTAAATAAGATACACAATTACAGACAATAGAGGAAGAATTGGTAAGTTTTTTTCTACATTAAAATTAAAAGCAAAAAAAAAATTAAAAAAATAAAATTAAAAGCATTTGCTTATCAGAAGTTTCCAAAAAAGAGTGAAAAGATAAGCCATAAATCAGGAGGTATATTTCCATAGAAATGACTAAACCTAGTAGAATTTTTTTCTTTTTTTTCTGAAAGAGTGCATATGTGTGCGAATGGGGGTAAGGGCAGAGGGGGAGGGAGAGAATACCCATCTCACAACCCCAAGACCATGACCTGAGCCAAAATCAGGAGTCACTTAACTAGCTGAGCCACCCAGGTGTCCCTAGAAAAATTTTATAGAAGGAACTTGATAATGAATGAAAAGATGATCAATCTTGTCAGTAATCAGGAAAACCAAATAAAAACTTTGATTTACATGGGCAGCCTGGGTGGCTCAGCGGTTTAGCGCCTGCCTTCGGCCCAGGGCATGATCCTGGAGACCCGGGATCATCCCACGTCTGGCTCCCTGCATGGAGCCTGCTTCTCCCTCTGCCTGTGTTTCTGCTTCTCTCTCTCTCTGTCTCTCATGAATAAATAAAATCTTTAAAAAAATAAAATAAAAACATTGATTTACATTCTCTCAGCCCCCAAATTAGCAAAATTATAAAAATCTAACAATATTAGGAACTCTTTATACTACTGGTTAAATATTAGGAACCCCTTATTCTACTGGTTAAATAAAATTGCATCCTTTCTGAGAAGAAATTGGTATTATCTTTTGGAGAAATTGGTATTATCGAGTAAAGCCAAGTTCACACATTTTTTATGGCCAAACTTTTCTGTTCTTTGGTATATATTCTTAGGGATTTCTTGCCTGTATGTATTTCTATGTATGTATAGGAATGTTCCTAGTTGGATTAACAAAATATGCTATATGCATAGAATAGAATGTTCTTCACCCTTTTAAAGGAAGGAAATTCTGACACATACTACAGCATAGATGTATTTGAAGACATGTTAAGTGAAATAAACCTGTAAAAGGGACAAATATTAAATGATTCCACTTATATGAGATAACTAGAGTAGTTTGATTCATGGTTACAAAAGTAGAATGGTGATTATCTGAGGAGGCAGATATGGGGATTGTTGTTTAATGGGTATAGAATTTGATTTTGCAAAATGAAGAGTTCTGTAGATGGATGGTGTGATGGTTATACTACACAGTCACGTACAGTGAGAAGGTACGTAGTGCCCGTGAACTGTAACACTTAAAAATGGTTAAGATGGTAAATTTATTTTACAACAGTATTTTTTTATTTTAGAAATTCTTTAAAAATGTTTATCAGGCACATTGTAGTGATAGCAGAAAAGTTAGAAACAACTCAATTATTCGTAAACAATAAAGGTATAAATATAGAAACTACACCTCCATGAATCTGAAAAATATAATGTGGAACAAAAAAAATCCCAGAAAATATAGCAGTACAATTATATTTAGACAAAGTTTAAAATTAGGCAAAACTGAATGATGTCTTTTGTAGGTATGTATATATAGATAGCAGTACTAAAGAAAAGCAAGGGAGTTAGGAACACACAATGTATGATAGTGGGGAATATGGAAGGTGATGCTATCTGGGACAGACACATCGAGAGCTTCAAAGGTATACATTAGTTCTTACCTTGGGTTGTGGACTCATGGGTTTTCATTATTTGAACTATGTTTTCAGTACATAAGTTGTGTTTCATAGTAAGAATGAAATAATTTGCTAATTAAAATTTTTTTTTCAGTGCTTTTGCAGCAACTTTTGTTACAAAGCATCTAAGTTTTTTGAAGCACAAATTCCTAAAACTCCAGTATGGGTTCGAGAAGAGGAAAGGTAATTTAAATCATTACATATAATTTGTTGATATATTCCAGCTTTCTGAGATATGTAGAGAGTAGTGCTAGTTTTCTGTAGGATGTTACCATTGTACACATTTTAATTGTGGGGAAATGGTTTTATTTTAAGCATAGTTATTAAGGATTTTACACTTAAAATCAGAAAATTAATAAATATAAATGGTGTTTCTTTGCTGTTTTCATTTTTTAAAGATTTTATTTATTTATTCATGAGAGACACAGAGAGAGAGAGGCAGAGACACAGGCAGAGGGAGAAGCAGGCTCCATGCAGGGAGCCCAACGTGGGACTCGATCCCGGGTCTCCAGGATCATGCCCCGGGCCGAAGGCGTCGCTAAACTGCTGGGCCACCTGGGCTGCCCCTTCTGTTTTAGTTTTAATCACAGAACCTGAACGTCACTTCTGCTATGTTAGTTATTTCTATTAACTCTATTAGTATAATAATCTTAGAGTAAGAATGTTAAAGTTTTCAAGTAGATACTAGATCTTAGGATCCAACTGAATTTTGTTAGAAAACTATGTACTAAAAAACAACTATGTACAAAGGTTAAAAAGTTCAGGTTACTAATTCACTCACTATTAAAAATCAGTACAGTATTTTTTTTAATTTAAACAAATCCAATATAATTTTTAGCAAAAAAATATTATGAACATTCCTGGGGTTTTGCCTCTTAGGAAATGTTTAAACTTTTACAACATTTCAGTAGTTGCTGAATTTGAGAGAAAATTTATTATTGAGGGGCAAATGCCATATGTAGAAAAGGTAACAAAAATTGTTATGTAATTGAACTCTGTTGTCCAGTTTCAAACAAGGTTAAATGAAATAATGTCCCAAATAACTCATGTTTCATAGAGAATATTGCAACACAAGGCATGTGGTAAAAGAGTATCAATGCTAAATGAATTTAATGACATAAACATAATGAGATGCAAGTTAACTAAATACCTTTGCCTAAAGAAAAAAACTTACTCAAGTCTTACCTGATGCACAAGGTAATATGAAACCACTGTAGTTTGAACTAGCATCATTTGTACTGAGGGATAGTCCTGTTGTTGGCTGACACCTTTGCCTGCAGATCCAATGCTGTGTGGTTTAGAATATGTAAAGGGGCGCCTGAGTGTCTCAGTCAGTTAAGCGTCTGTCTGACTCTTGATTTCAGCTCAGGTCATGATCTCAGGGTTGTGAGTTCAAGTGCTGTGTTGTACTCTGCACTCAATGTGGAGTCCACTTACGATTCTTTCTCCTTCTTTCCTGACTGCCCCTCATTCACACACACTTTCTTAAAAATAAATATGTATATATAGAGAGAATATGTGAAGCACACCACTCTATGACCTTTGTTAATTGAATTACACATAATGAAGACAAACTTGTTCACTACTTCTCCACTAGCCTTTCTTATTGGAAGGATAAAGGATTGTAGCATTGTCGAAGGTGACTGGGGACCTAAGAGTACCTTCTTAACTATTACTTTTCTTTTTCTCCTTTCTTAATGTTTGTTTCAACAGAGCTGCTTATTGCCTCCTCAGTCTTAGGACAGCTGCACATATTCCATTCCCCAGCTGTTAAAATCAGTGTTTTCTTAAGTTATCCTTAACATTGTTTCCAGTGATATCTTCTCTAGTTAAATTTAGCCCATCCTCATATCTGCTTCAAAACTATTTACCAAACCACCCTTCCTGTCATCTTGATATTCTTCAGATACAATTATTGGTACTTCCTTCAGCTAATCTAAAACAGTTTTTCCCAAAATCTTATTCTATGTTCAGAACGCCCACCTTTTCCCAGAATGTGAAGCTCTGTCACTTTATGCTTGGGGTTCTTGAAATTCTACTTTAGGGGATCCCTGGGTGGCGCAGCGGTTTGGTGCCTGCCTTTGGCCCAGGGCGCGATCCTGGAGACCCGGGATCGAATCCCACATCAGGCTCCCGGTGCATGGAGCCTGCTTCTCCGTCTGCCTATGTCTCTGCCTCTCTCTCTTTCTCTCTCTGTGACTATCATAAATAAATAAATAAAAAGACTGTCAGTGGGGGGCTTAGTGCTGGCAACCATGTCAGGACTCCTCTCACTTCTAAGAAGAGCTCTAAAAAAAAAAAAAAGAAAGAAATTCTACTTTATATGCCCTTCCCTACCTCACTAAAAAAGAAAGATGAAAATGGCATTGGTTTCCCTAATTTAGACAAATCAATTTAATTTACATTCAGTGTGTATAATGTGACCTTAGTATCCAACAGGCTACCCACACCTGTACAAACAACACACACACACTTACGAAACCAAACCCGTGAGTTTAAATTGAAATGTTAATGGAATGGCATAACAAGCACACAAATGAAACAAATTTACTTATTCTAATGAGGACAAGTATTGGGGAGCCTTCAAATGCTTTTGAACAGAATTTGATCTGACACTGGTGTACAAAATGAATTAAGAAAAGATCATAATTAAAGAGTTGAAAGGCCCTTAGGGACAATTTAACACAACATCTTTATCAAACAAGCTCAGAAAGATTAACTGTATTTCTTAAGCGAGTGATAGGTTCTCAACAATGCCAGGATTCCAGTTGTTTAAAAGTAACCAGTGAGTAACCTATAAATATATAATTGTATACAGTTATACTACATGTATAACGGTAGCCCTTATTTTTGTATGATTCTTGTTAGTATATAACCATATTAGTATCTTTTATATCTCCAGTATCAGGTTTACCTTAATTTATAAATTCTTACTGGCAAGCATTGTCAGTTTATTTCATGAATCCACTAGAGGTCACTGTGTCTTCAGAGAATGTTGATATTTTTAAGTGTTCCAAAGATCAGAATTCTAGAATTCAGTATTCTTTTAAAAAGCCTTTCCAGCTGTTGCATATGTAAGCTCTACAGAAATGTGATTTTTAAAGTCTGCTCACATACAGTATCAGGTATATAATGTTAAATACCATTCAGAACCTATCTTTTTTTTTTCCAAAGATTTTATTTATTTATTCATGAGAGATACAGAAAGAAAGAGAGAGGCAAAGACACGGACAGAGGGAGAAGCAGGCTCCATGCAGGAAGCCCAATGTGGGACTCGATCCCAATACCACAGGATCATGCCCTAAGCCAAAGGCTTAACAGCTGAGTAACAGCTGAGCCACCCAGGTGTCTCAGAACCTATCTTCTTTTAAAGGGGAAAAAATTGTTGCTTTTAAATGGTAGGATTTAGTATTTAAGGAAGAGATGTTTTCATTAGTTTAAAGTCCCATCATACTAAATCATATCACCATAATTAAGTCATAATTTTTTTGTTTTATTATTTATTTTATTAATATTAATAATTATTGAATACTTAAAATTTTAAAAAATAAGAGCAAATTTTAAAATCCACTCAAAGAATTGAATATTTTATTACACTGACCACCATAGTATACTTTACATTATAATCCAGTACATGCATATTACTGTCAGTCTGTTATCAACACTAAGCCTTAGTTTCCTCATTTGCAAAGTAGAAAGTTGCATTAATCTCTTAGTTCCCTTTAGTTCTAGTGTTTTACAGTCTGAGTCAGTCACTGTCACCATAGTAAAAGTTTAGATAGGAAATGTTTTATTTATAAAAGTGATGAAAATTAAAATTATTGGCATAAGACTAGGGAAAGTCTGTAAAGAAGGCTGATAAAGGGTAAGATCAAAGTTTTTCAATTATGAAGAAAAACCAGGAATGTTTTATAGCATGTCCAGAACAACTTGAAGTTGACATCTTCAGGGAAACCATGATCTTGCACACTATTTGGAAATAGAATATTGAATTTGACTCAGTTTAGTTTGTCTTATATTGTTGTAAAAGCTAATATAATTTACCAGATACCAAAATACTAAAATCTGTAGTGTCTTTTAACATTTCTAAAATACTATTTTATACCATAGAAAGCTCTCTACCCTGATAATAAACACATATAGATAGATTTTAAAAAGATTTAAACAAATCCATGAATTCTAGCTCCGTACTTCTTTCTGTTGAGGCTTTGGAATCGGAAGGGGCCTTTGGAGTTTTCTACTCCCTCATTTTTATTATTAAAGTTTGAAAAAATATCTGGAGTAGAATCTTTAATGTCACGAGAACAGCCGTGTTTCCCACAGAATGTCTCCTGATACTGTCTCAGAGACAAAACATTGACCTAGATGACTTAGATCATGACGCAGTATGATGCTTCTCATGTTGTGAGTTAGAAATTTTTCACCCACTTGGTGGCCAGAAACAGACCACATACACTTAAATTCCTCTGAGACAGTGTACTCATTTAGATAGTCATATAGTTATAAAATCTGTTTTTGTTTGAATGTAGACTCTGACAAGTCTTAGAAGTTTCTTTATAACCTAAAAAATCAGGAGTTAAAACTAAGAAGGACAAATGTTGAGAATCAAATTTTGGTTTGAAAAATAAAATTGGGGTGAATTGTTAATGCTGACAGAGCTAAAAGCGCCATCATGTGGCCCAGAATAGGGGATTTTCACACATGCTTCTTGGCAATAAACAGTATAATCTCAGAGGTGCGGAAGCCAAAAACCTCTGCAGAACAACTTCTATAACCTCTTCCTGAACAGCCACTTCTGTTGCTTGGTATACAGAATAAAAACTTTCTGAAAGAGGTTTTAACATGTCTCAGATTATATTTGGAAAATCTCCACCACAGTGGGGAATTGTAGCCTTCTGCTTCTGTTGATTTATGTATAATACACCTATTCTGACCAACACAAACACATATATCTATATGCATACATTCAAAGAAGGTTTTTTGGCACAAGTTATTTCTAATTTTAGGTTTCTTTTGCTAAAGTTACAATTGATCATCTAATTTATACTTCAGTAAAAATAATATGAAATGTTTATGAAGAACCAGTTTGAAGGTATTCTGTAACATGATTATTTTTGTTTTTTAAGTTCAGCTCATGTCGATTAGATTGAGAACTATCTCTGGGGCAACAAACATTGAAGGGG